TCTGGGTTCCAGTCCAGGACTTCAGGTTGACCCCAACCTGGGCCAATCCAGAGCTGACATGACTCAGATCCAGGCTTTGAACTGATTTGGGTAGTTGTGAGGATGAAAAAGAAGCACGTACCCTGTGAGGCTTTGAGAAAGGAAGGTAATAATCTGTGGTAGAGATTCCTGTCCAAACTACTAGAGGGATTGCTATGAAACTTGTTAGGAATCCGCCCCCTTCTATTACTCCCCCAAATCCCCACCTAGCTTAGGTGCAATTCACTTGACCTCAGAGCTTGCTTAACTCGCACTTGAATAAAAGCAAACGCTGATTGGGCATTTAGGAGTTTCTAATGATTCTCTACGTCTGGTAATAGCTTGGCATGCTGTGGGATGTAGGTAGAGGCAGAGGAAAGAAAATATGGCTCTATTAACCACACAACACTCAGAAGAGAGGGATTATTTTCCCTGTGCCAGAAAGGGGCACCAGAGGCAGGGCCTTTCCAGTGGTGGTGACTGGTGTGCAAACTCCAGAGGAGTTGCCCCCTATGTTGGTTGTCTCCTGTATTACAGAGGGCATTTAGTGTTGTTGTTGGTCCCATGCTGTGGAAGACTCTTCCAGCAGAGATTAAGGATGTAGGAAGAGCCCATTGGATCAGGTCAGCAGCCCATCTGGTCCAGCACCCTGTTCACTCAGTGGCCAACCAGAAGCCCATGGGAAGGACCTGAGAGCAGCAGCACTTTTCCCTCTTGTGATCTCCCACAGCTGGTATTCAGAATCTTATGATGCTGGAGGTAGCAAATAGGCATCAGGGTTAGCAGTCACTAAAAGCAGGCACCCTCACTTTCCACTTTCAAGTATTGCTTGTGGATCTCTTTATGCTTTGGAAGCTAATTTTTCCTTTTTTCTCTGTATTAGCCTATTGCTTTAATGATTTTCTGTAAATATTAACACTGTTCTATGTTTTAATGCTGTATGCTGCACTGATATATTTTGACAATGGGAATATAGAATTACTTTTATAAGATAAATATATATTATTTATCTTGGGGCCTCCCCAGATGGTGCCTCCCACCACTCTTCTGCATCTAGCCAATCCATGACACATTTACATTCATTGCTCCATCTATTTATGCATCTGTCCCTGTCCACCATTGGCAGGTGGTCCTTGGCCCTTGGCCTGAAAAATATCCCCTGCAACACCGCATTCTATCAGAAAGTTTCGATTAAGTTGGTTCAGCTTTAAATGCAAACTGAATCAAATCCCCACCACCACCACATTGGCTTCAGCCCCCAGCCCCCTGCCAAAGGTCTTGCCATCTTTACTCAGCCTTCTTCCCTTCTGAACTCTGCAGTCAGTCAGATAGTCTGGAGCCCAGGTTAAGTTTATGAAAAGATGCAAGATCACAGCTCCTTCTTTGCCCCGGTCTTCCTGCACGTATAATTCCTGTGGTGATGCATTATTGGAAGAAATGGGCTTTACCTATTGATTGCTTTTGGTGCCAGACTGTCTGAGACTTCTGTGCTTTTAGGTTAAAGCTGTCATGGTTAATGCACATGTCTCCAACAGGAAATGTACCAAGATTCATAATTAGTTAAGAGTAAGTGAAGCTTGTCAGACAAGACAAGAGGTGGGCTGTTACTGTAATGCAAAATTGGTGTGGGTGGGTGTGATTCCTTGCAGGCTGTGTTGGTGTCATCCTCTTGCTCCACCTTGTGGTCATGATGCAGAAAAAGGTGAAATGTAGACACTAGAACAGGGGTAGGCAACCTAAGGCCCAAAGGCCAGATGCGGCCCAATCGCCTTCTAAATCCGGCCGGCGGACAGTCCGGGAATCTGTGTTTTTACATGAACAGAATGTGTCCTTTTATTTAAAATACATCTCTGGGTTATTTGTGGGGCATAGAAATTTGTTCTCCCCCCCCATCAAAATCTAGTCCATCCCACCACATGGTCTGAGGGATGGTGGACCAGGCCCCTGCTGAAAAAGGTTGCTGACCCCTGCACTAGAACATGAGTAGGGAACCTGTAGCCCTCCAGACGTTGTTGGACTACAACACCTCTCAGCCCCAGACAGCATGGCCTATGATTCAGGATGATGGGAGTTGTGGTCCAGCAGCATCCGCATAACTGACTGAGAGCAGAGAGCTTCAGTTCTATGTTGTTGCTTGTCAAGAGCCTTCCAGGTGCCCAGGGTTCAGTTAAAGCCCATGGGATGCCATCAAGAGGTAAATCCTCCCATGGACTTTATCAGATCAGGAAGCTTGGGCAGCTGGGAAGGCTGCAGAGTAGTGGCAAAACATATGAAGATGCCTAAGACAGGCCCACACAGCATGTGACTTGCCAGGCTGAACAATCCCCACCAATCATGTACCGTGGCCTGCCAGGGTCTTGGCACTTGCGCCCCTCCCTTTCCCTTGCAGTCATAAAATCATAGAATCACGGAATTGTAGTGTTGGAAGGAATGCCAAGGGCCATCTAGTCCAACCCTCCACAATGCAAGAAACTCAGCTAAAGCATCCATGACAGATGGCCATTCAGCTTTTGCTTAAAAACCTCCAAGTCTCTGGATGCCAACTGAAAAAGGTTTATTGAGCCTCTCTTGGCAGGATTCACATGGCTAGTGGGGAGCTCTGTTTAGCTACATCCATAAGAATATAAGAAGATGGTCCAGTGGCCAACCATGTACCTATGGGATGCCCCCAAGCAGGAAGTGAGTGCAGCAAGGCTCTCCCCGCCTGCAGTTCCCAGCAACCAGTATTCTGCTTAGCAGGTCTGTGATCATATAATAACTGATTGTTTGAGGTGACATTCTGAGGCATGTTGCCTCCACAGTGGAAGTAGAAGATAGCCATTGTGACTAGTAGTCATTGGTAGCCTTATCCCCCATGAATCTGTCTAATGATCCATTTATAGACAATCCAAACTGGTGACTACATCTTGGTGGAGCACATTCCATATAGTTTAGATTTTTTGTCTGTCCTGTGTCTTCTGCACTTCATGCTTCACTCGAGCATTTGAGTTGCTCACAACTCTTTTCGCCCAGAAGAAAAAGTAATATGAAAATGCTACATCTCTTTTTGGAATGTAGTTGTAGATTTTAAACAGTAGATGTCAGGGCTGCTTTGCAGATACACAGGTGTACAGTTCTGAAGTACTGTTTTGACCTAAAGTCTAGGTGGGGCACGACAAGGAAAAGGAAAGCCCTGCCCCCATCACTTTAATCTGGCCTTGCAGGAAAGGGTTGTGTGATTTTTGTTGGGACTGCAGTGCAGTGAGGAGAGTCCTGCCATCCCAATCCTGATCTCTTTCTCTCTCCCTCCCCCCCATGTTGTTATTATTAAAAAGGGAGAAAGAGTTGTTCAGTACTGTGAGACATGTGTCATCTATTCTATTTTAACAAGGAGAACACTGAATAATGGTTTCACCCTCTGCACTCTGTATTAGTAGTTGCTGTCCACTATACCACCTGAAGCAGGAATAGGGCCCTTTAGCTGTCGTTGGACTAAATATCCCATCATTCTTGAACATTGGCCAAGTTGGCTGCAGCTGATGGGAGCTCGAGTACCATCAAAATTTGAAAAATACTTGAAAGATTGCCCCACCTGCTATACACTGTGTCCTGCAAGAGAAGACCTCCTGCAGATGCCATCTCATCAGGGGAGACCATCTGTGTGATATATAAAGTGGGTCTTTAGTGTGGTGGCACCCACCCTTTAGAACCCCTGCCCACTACGCATTCAATGGGCACCATTATCAGCACCATTTTGGAAACCTAATGAAGATCTTCCTTTTCCATCAAGTCTTTTAAGTGGACATTTTGTTCGTCTGAATCTGTGTTAACTTGAACTTGTTTGAATTGTTTTTTTAAATGGAATTGTTAAACATGTTTTATATATGTTGAAATGGTTTTAATCGTTCCATACACAGTTGTGCGTGGTGTGGTGAACGTGGGCAGAGTTCAGCATTTTCTCCCTCTCTCTTAACACTAGAACTTGGGGACACCCAGCGAAGCTGGTCAAGATCCAGGACACACAAAAGAAAGTACAGTGGACCCTCCGGATACGAATTAAATTCGTTCTGGGGGTCCGTCCACAGGGGCGTCTTGCCCATAGAGGCTAGTGGCGCGGGGCACCAGGGAAGAGGCAGAGGCTGGACGCGGTGGCTCCCGGCATCAGCTCGCCACCCTTGCCTGCCTCTGCCATTCCACACCAAAGCAGCGCCGTACCTGGAGCCTCCACCTGCCGTGGCCACCGCAGCACAAAGCGGCCAGCTGAGCCAGGAGGTGCCGCGTCCAGCCTCCGCCTCTTCCCCGCCAGAGGAGCCACCCTCCAGCCACTGCCCGCCTCCTCCAGCCTCGCCGGAGGTCAACAACTCTGGGAAATGGGGGGGGGGGGGACACCGGAGGGACCTTTGCACCATGGCGCTGGATATGCTTAAGATGGCGCTGTCCATCTGCAACCCAAAAAGTCCATAGGCAGAGGCGCTCCTTCTGCACATGTGCGCAGCACGATTGAGCATTTCTGCACATGCCGGCATGGTGAAACATGGAAGTATACACTTCCGGGTTTGCCACATTTGTAATCCGAAAGTTATGTATCCAGAGTGGTACGTAACTAGAGGGTCCACTGTGCTTCTCCTACACAGTGTGTGGTTAAACTATGGGATTCACTCCCACAAGCAGCAATGGGCACCAACTTGGATGGTTTTAAAAGAGAATTAGACAAAATAATGGAGGGGAAGGCCATGTTCTGCCTCCACTGTCACAGCAATATGCTCAGAATCCCAAGTGGGAAGAGGGCTCTTCAGCCTAGTGAAAGCAGTGAGTGGGGGAATGCAGAGAGGAAGGGATAGCACAATAGCATGACTCCCATCTCACCCACAGCACACACACAGGGGCTGAATTGTGTTTGTTCTGGAGCACCATAAGTCCTTCAAATCGCAACAATACAATAACACATTTGTATTCCACACCATTTGTTACATTACAAATGAAAACAAAATATAGAATGTTTTGTGTGTGTGTGTGTCCCTCATTAATTGTGCTGCTTTAAGGGTCAATATTAATTTTATTTTTCATGCTTAAGGCTTTGTTTTGACATTCTGCAACGGTCTCTATTTGCCATGCTGAGATAGGGTCATAAACCTAGACATTTTTCAGAAATGTAAATTGGCACAGAAGCAATTTAAACAAAATAAAATGATGGATAAATAGACAAGATACTCTACGGCGGGGGTTTTGTCTCCCCCGGAAAAGTTTAGACTTTATATAATAACATTTTAAATACAGATAAATTTGTAAATACACTTTCTCCATAGATAACAATATAACATTTCAAAATCTCCATTCACCAGATGCAAAATCACTTAAAAAGTAAAGGTAAAGGGACCCCTGACCATTAGGTCCAGTCGTGGCCGACTCTGGGGTTGCGGCACTCATCTCGCTTTATAGGCCGAGGGAGCCAGCGTACAGATTCCGGGTCATGTGGCCACCATGACTAAGCCGCTTCTAGCGAACCAGAGAAGCACGGAAATGCTGTTTACCTTCCCGCCGGAGCGGTACCTATTTATCTACTTGCACTTTGATGTGCTTTCGAACTGCTAGGTTGGCAGGAGCAGGGACTGAGCAACGGGAGCTCACCCCATTGCGGGGATTCAAACCGCCAACCTTCTGATCGGCAAGTCCTAGGCTCTGTGGTTTAACCCACAGCGCCACCCACGTCCCGCAAAATCACTTACAGTACATTAAAAAATAGCTCCCCCAAGGTGGGTTGGGGAAACACAGAAGAAATAATCAGTAGAAAACTCATGGCTGGAGAAAAGGGATATGAGCTAGCGAGAAACTTTCTTGACCTGCCCCCTTTGAAATGCATGGAGGATGCGTCTGAGAGTACAACTGCAGAAGATTCCATATATGCTGTTAAAGAGAGTGGGTCTGCTCCATACCCTCCATGAGCTCTTTTCCTGCCTGGAATGTGTCCTTGACAGAAAAACAAGAGGCAACTGATAATGCTGTGTCATCAGCAAAGGCAGCAGGGATGCCGTCCCCAGACATCTGAGCTTTAAAAGCAGAGTAGAGAGTTGACAGGGCGGTGGCTTTATCTTTAAACATTATAACTCTCTAAAAATGTGACTTGTAGCTGAAACTTGGCAATCTTCTATTTGTGTGTCTGGCTTATAGGCAGGGACAGCCGCAAGGGAGAAATGGTGATGCCCAATGATTCCTTTAGCCCTGCTTTCCCTCTTCTTGCCTGCCTGCTCCTTCTCCTCAGGCCAAGAAACCTGATCTCTAAGGCTTAATGTCCACAAGCAGTGGAATGAGGTGGTAGAGCCCTGAAGGGGATGGCAGAATAGATGGGACTACTTGAGGCTGAAGGTGGGAGATAGGTGCCATTTGAGTGTGTTCCCCATGTCGAAGCACTCCCTGCAAGCAGAAAAGCAGCACACCCAGGGGAAATGGTGTAACCAACTTCTCTCTTTGCTTTATTTGCTCTACTTGCAGGGAATCACTCTCTTTCTCAAACACACTCGCCACTCTATTACCTCTGAGCTAAGCAGTGGGGATACTAGATTAGAAGGGGCTACAGAAGGCGTGGAGTTGGTAATCTTTTGTAACATGGTGTCATGTGCAAGGCTAAAATTTTCTGTCTCCCAAATGGATCTTCTCAGTTTTGTGCCCTGTCTGCTCAGTGCCCTGTGGGGAGGAACTGTCCGCACAACCCTGAATCTGGCACTGGCTGCAGAGAAAAAGCAGCAGCAAGGGTTAACTCCTTCCCTACTGCTGCTGCTTTTCCATAAATGCTCACCATGACTCCACATTCACAACTCTTGTATTTAAGGCCCAAACTCTAGTTGCATCTGAACTATTGATAAATAAAGACCATCTTACAGCTCTCTGTATGCACAGTATTCTGATTGTACTCTTTGCCTGGTGACAAGCATTGTGCTCAAATTTGAAGACTGTATCAGAAATACGGTATTTTGAGGTCTTATCTGTGCTGTGAATGTAACAAAAAACATGAACAGGTGGTTGAGAATGCTGGTCCACGAAGAGACACATGCTATGGATTTTTGATTCTGTGCCTTGTGTGGTATCCTTTAATTTCACAGATTACTCTTTCGACCTGATCTTCCTTCAGAGAGCTCTGTACAGCTTGCGGGTCAAGGAATCTAGGTGAGCTTTGCAGTTAGGCAATTTAGACTGTTCCCTGGTTTTACGTTGTAATGTGCTTACTACAAAATGTGGTTAAACCAGCCCTTCTGCAGTCATCTTCATTCTGCTGAGTCAAATCCCTGTCATCTGCCCTAAAGTCCTGCTCTGATGGCATTTCTGTTCCATCCAGCCCCGAGTTCTGCTCTTTCCAAATTCCAATTTAACCAGAGAAAAATCTGTAATTAATTTCAGAATCAAACCACACCATTTGTTTTGGTTCATATGCATCTTCTGTCTACCACTTTTCTGGTCCTGATGTGCATATCTCTCAGTAAAACACTGCAGAAAAGCAATCCTGATATGATCACATCCCTCACTACAATGCAGGGTGCGTTACTGATGCATGCACGTATCCCAAGGAATCTTGATGCAACTGTGCATATGATCACACCATGCTTGCTTTGGTGATGCAGAGGGAAGGAGACATGAATTAACTGAAAAGTAAGCAGACTGTGGGCACACAGTGTTCTGTGTGAGGAGAGAGCGAGCAATGGAGAATCCTTATCAAAAAACAGCGAAAGGTAATTGTTCGGACCTAACAAGTCTATACTTCTAGTTGTGTTGGTCTACCTGATTTTTTTGATATTGCACAAAGTACACTGGATCCCATTGCTCCCCTGCTAATTTCTACAGTAATCGTTTCACTACTGACCTTTTCATAGAGTTAACCCAAAAAGAAAGAATATACTGTTGTATTCCAACTTATTTCACAGCCACATACAAATCAGGTGCTTAAAGCATATGTGAGCATTTGAATAGTAGTGTTTCTTAAGTTTACACTCTATGATAAATAAACTATTTAAAATGGAACTCTAGTCTAAGCAAGTGCTAACAAGGATGCCTTCTAACATTTAGGGTTGCCAACTGCCCTGCTCCTCTGCCTTTAACAGCAGCTTGGATTGAAAGAGTCAGCATTTGAGAGAGAAACACAGTCACCTGCACATATCTGCAGATCAAGCTGTTGTTAAATGCACAGGAGCAGTGCTGGTAAAAGAAGCTGGCAACACTAGTACCAATGCACATTATGGAAGCTGTTTAGCAGTAAATGCGTGAAGCACAAGAGATTTGGAGTCTCAGCATCCTGAGAAAGTGATGGTTTGTGGATGCATCAAGGTGGCGAGAAGGGTCAAACAGATTGACTTTCCCCCGTTTTAATAGCCTGCATTGTTTTGAGGGATTGTTCAAGGCATGGTGGTATGCTCTCACTCCACAAAAATAAGACGAGCAGTTCAGTAGTCAGGGAAAAATCCCACTCCTAATCCCATAAAGCTTTGAGCAGCCTCCAAAAACCTCAGGTCTTGTCCACAGATGGCAGTGATGGGCGATCACAACTGGCATGGAGACCACTGGCCCAGAAAGAAACTTCATTGCTTAAAACTACGTGGCTCAGTTCACCGTTTCTTTTGTACCAGGATCTCCTAAATCATGATTCTATCACTACGGATATATTGCAAAATGCTTGAATATTGCACCTTTCAGTTACTTGCTGAAGTGTCAGGAGGCTTGCAGGCAACAAAACTCTGAACACAAATACTTCAATTCCTTTTGCAGACAAAACCATTAGACCTTTTAAAACAAAGCTTGTTCTGTTTTCTTCACAGATGGAGAAGCCATGGGGATTGGTGATGGGGGGGGGGGGGAGGTTCCTTGAAACTGGAGAACAGTATTTGGTTTGGTCCTTCATTTGCTTCATATCTTGGGGTTACCTGGGGGCTTCAATGCCTAAGACAAAAGCAAAGAGATGCTGAAGTCAAAGAAAAGAAAAACAAAGTTCCCCAAGTTTCTCCATGTTGCAGTCCTAAGCACACCACCTATTTTTTAGCTATTTTAGTTTGATTAAGCTAGTTATACAGAAATGGAGGTGCTCAAGACAGCTTGCATAAAAGCCCAATAAAAGCAATAATAAAATCATTATACATACAAATTGATAAAAAATGTGAAAATAGGATCTTAAAAATGAAAAATGAAACTCCTCCATCATATTTCTCTGGCTACATAGATTGATATATGCTCTTCACCTTTGCTCTGATATATATGTACACACATGCAGATCCCGCAGATTCAGCTCTCCAAACAGAGAGCACCTTTTACTCCTTGTTTGCCTTTTGTTGGTTAGCTGAGGAATGGAGGGAGGGAGGCGTAGTGATAAGACAAATTAGTGAGCCTTTTTTCTAGGCTTTCACAGGTTTTCTTGGCTTTGGAGGGCGGGGTCAAAATTCCATGGTCGGGAACACATTAGAAATTTCCCCATAGGTATACGTTGAAATGATGGTACACGGGTGGCGCTGTGGGTTAAACCACAGAGCCTAGGGCTTGCCGATCAGAAGGTTGACGGTTTGAATCCCTGCGACGGGGTGAGCTCCCGTTGCTCGGTCCCTGCTACTGCTAACCTAGCAGTTCGAAAGCACGTCAAAGTGCAAGTAGATAAATAGGTACCGCTCTGGCGGGAAGGTAAATGGCGTTTTCGTGCGCTGCTCTGGTTCGCCAGAAGCGGCTTAGTCACGCTGGCCAGATGACCTGGAAGCTGTACGCCGGCTCCCTTGGCCAATAAAGCGAGATGAGTGCCGCAACCCCAGAGTCGGCCACGACTGGACCTAATGGTCAGGGGTCCCTTTACCTTTACCTTTATACGTAGAAATATTGGACTCATGTAAACACTTGCAGACCGAATGATTTCTAGGAAACACATTGTGCTCAGTAAGTGGGGTCTGTATGTATGTATACATCTCCACCATCCATTTTTGTGGTGTGCCACATCCTCAAATTATTCCTGCCTTTCTCCCTTGAACAAGAGGTAGGGATGGTCACTAACTTGGATGGCTTTAAAAGAAAACTAGACAGCTTGATGGAGCAAAAAACTACCCCTTGCTATTAGCCACAACGGCTGTGTTCTATGCACACTGTTGGGGCACCATGGCTCTGAACAACATCTGCTGGGAATTGCAGTGGGGAGAGAGCGGTTGTGCTCAGGTTCTGCTTGCAGGCCTGCATAGCCTGCCCTAAGCTTCCCAAATGGCTTCCTTCCCTCAGGTGCAATGCACACGTTTTTTGCCTCAGGGAACAAAAGGTTATGGTTGAGCACATTGCCACAGGAATGAAGAAAATGGCTGCTGGGTCTTCCCCTGATAGATGAGGCCACAGGGTCCTTCTTGCCCAGCATGCTGCCCTTGCAGTGGACAACCTAGGGGAAGCCCAGAAGCAGGACCTGAGCACAACAGCACACTCCCAACCTGCTGCTCCCAGCAGCTATCATTCAAAGACATCCTGCCTCCAACAGCGGGCGATAGGACACTCTGCAGCTCAGCATCTTCCTTGTGAATCTTGGGGCTCCTTACCTGGGGCGGAGGTGGAGGAGCTGTCTTACGCTTGAATTGGGGAGAAGGAGTTTTCATCATTGCTGCTGTCTGTAAGAGAAGTGCCACATTTTCCTGATCAGATGTCAGTCACCCCCTTTTCTCTCTTCAACACAACCAACCCATCCAGGCAGCTTATTTGAAAATTCCAATTCCAATTAATATTAACGCAATGAATAAATAAATATGATATTAATCATAATGAAGATTTATCCTGCCTTCTGCAAAAGTGCACAAAATCAGCACAGTACAAAATAAGGTAAAAACAAATGGCAGTCTTAAAAGCAGAGGGTGAGGATGATTTGCATTTGTTAGAAACTTTATTTAAAAGGGGGGTGTATATCCAATACTAGTCAGAGAAGACCCATTGAAGTTAATGGACGTGGCTAACTTGGGTTCATTAATTTCAGTGAGTCTACCCAGAATAGAACTTAGTTGGATGCAACGCAAAATCTCAAGGAGATTTACAACCAATTTACATTCAAAAAGCAGGGTGGGGTGGGAGGCATAGGACTGGAGGTTCCATCTGTAATCTGGCTGAATTTTTTCCTGTCAACCTTTACCATGGTTCCCCCTTAACCAAGATTTGAAATCAGGATTTGAGGCTGCTTCTGGAGTTAACAGAGGGCCTCATTAACTTTGGGGGTAATGGCATCTGAACTACCCCTGCCATGTTTTCTAACTGCAGCCTCTCGCATCACCCTGGGAAAAAGTGAAAATGGACAACTAGTTGATTGAAGAAGAGTCACACTGGTGATAGTTGCACCAGCATTCAGTTAGAAAGGAGAGAGAAAATCCTGAAGCAATTACTTACTGCATTGCTGTTGGCAGAAGAAAACCCTGTCTTGGCAGTTGGAATTGGAGGTGGAGGAATGTTTGGCTTTACAATTGGCTGGAATAAAAGAAAACAGGAGATTATCTAAAACATTTCCGCATAGTAAGCAACAAAGATATCAAGACAGCAGGCAAGGATATCTGAAGAAGGCACAATTTTTTAGGGGACAGAAAACAAGGCAGGAGCGGTGCTTTCTGTGTTTTGCTCATACTCAGAATTTGACTCAGCTGTCTGCAGCAATTGCCAGCAAGTGTGCTTGTTGTCAGGGCTTATGTGTGCAACATAGACTTATACCAATTTAACATTCATTTCCTTTTCTCTGGAAACAGCAGTTCATTTAGGAGAGGAGAGAGCACTCTTCACAGAGAATTCTCAGCAATCTCACCAAACAACAATGCCCTGGATTCTTTGCAGTAAACTGTAACAATTAAATTGGTATAAAACCAGAGGTGGATTTAGGGGAGCAAAACTAGTTCAGTCACACTGGGCATAGAGCCTCGGGGACACCTTAGGGGATGCTGAAACTATGATATAGAACAGAGTGCAAAAGGCCGGGGACACTGAACTTTTGTGTCACACAGGGCGCTGCTGAACTTGAGACCCCAAGGTCCACCACAGATAAAACCTATATAGATTGGTGGTGTAGATGTGTGATCTGTGCACATAAAAGGCACTACTCAAAGGGACTGCTACTGTGTGCTGGCCACGCAACAAGCTATGTGAACTCTACCATAAGAAAACCTTCGCTGAAGCAAGCCATGCCCACTCACCAGATGCCATATAACTACTGGAGTGGGGGAGGTAAAACCTAAGCTGCCAAGGAACAATCATGAGCACAGGAATGTGTTCCCAGTTTTTCCTTGGCAATAGCTTTTGCATTCAGAACTGTTTAAATTCAGCACCGGGTACAAGCCCTGCTGCTTTCCAGCAGGCTCACCTGATGTAATATGCTGGCAGGTGACTGACAGGGGCGTCGAGCTACCCACCAATCAAAAGTTGTCCGTGGAGGAGTGGCTCTAGTTGATCTGGCTCACTGGACAAAAGTGGTTCCCCAGCCTTTGTATAGACAATACTGGGCTGCAGGGACCAATGGGCTGACTCAGGGTGAAATGGCTTTGGAAGTCCAACTCATTGTTTTATTCATCTAGGCAAGCATCTCACAATCATGTAAAAAGGTAAAAAGGTAAACGGCCCCTGGGTGGTTAAATCCAGTCAAATTCAACTATGGGGTGCGGCTTTCATCTCTGCGTTCAGGCCGAGGGAGCGTTCAGGCCGTCAGTCCGCAGACAGCTTTCCAGGTCATGTGACCAGCATGACTAAACTGCATCTGGCGCAATGGGACACTGTGACGAAAGCCAGAGTGCTCACAGAAATGCCGTTTAGCAGTACCTATTTATCTATTTGTGCTGGCATGCTTTTGGACTGCTACGTTGGCAGGAGCTGGGACAGAGCAACAGGAGCTCACCCCATCGTGCAGATTCAAACTGCCAACCTCACATAGCTGTCAAGTGTCCCTTATTTGAAGGGACAGTCCCTTATTCTAGCGCCATGTCCCGCTGCTGTCCCTTATTGATGGATGTCCCTTAAATGATGTCCCTTAAATTTCAAAGGAAGCAGCTCCTCTCCCTCCCTCCCTGCCGGCCAGGGAGGAGGGAGGCTCCAACTGTGTTGCTTGGCTGTGTTGCTCACCCAATAAGGAGTCTAAGAACGACTGGGGGGTGGAGCTTGCATGCCTTGTGTGTGGCTAGTTAATGCAAGCTGAGGGGCTTTTTGAACGCTGGATGCCATTTTGTTGCATGTGCTGCTGCAAACTTTGCAGTGCAAAGCCAGGCCGGGGAGCCATCTTAAATTGAGGCTGCATAGGCCTTGTGGTGCATGTGATTCAGATTCTATTCAGTTGAACCTCTGGTTACAAAGTTGGTTGGACAGTGTTCTCGAAGCATGAGTTTGACCAGACTGCAGGAGGACAGGAAGACTGGAGTGCCTGGAACAGGTGAGGCTGCAGGTCCCTTATTTTGGCTGCTGGCCCCTTATTTTCAAGGCTGCTGGTCCCTTATTTTCAAGGCCGCTGGTCCCTTATTTTCAAATCTGTAAGTTGACCTCATGATCAGCAAGCTCAAGACCACAGTGCCACCTGCGTCCCTTTTAGGCTCATAGAATCGTTGTAGAATTGGAAGGCGCCCAAAAAGTCATATAGTCCAACCCTCGAATAAATGGAATAAATTGGATTGAATAAACTGCTGATTCAGTATACTCTATTTGTCAGCCAGTTAAAACATGCCCATTTGTTTCCTTGACCTCAAAAACATGGGATTTAACACCCTATTTACTCTTCTATGGATTGAGATATGGAAGTTGAGAAATGGTGCCATACGATCCCCCTGGAACTCCAATGGTCAATATTAGTGGGGAAATAATAGCACTCTTGATTCCGCTTTCCCCCCACTCCAGAAGGATCCTTCTTGGGCTCATTTAGGAACTTACCATTCTGGTATTTTGATACATGGTTGATATGTGGTTGCACGGTTCATCTGGAATTTGCTGAGGAATTATAAGAAGCAACATTTGGTTAGTGCTTCTATAAAGCGGAATAGTTGAATACAGTTTCATGCCACCTGACTTTCTAGAACCCCAACAAATCACAAAGACACACGTTTCAACATTCCCCAGGTTAAAAGAACAAAATTTTCCATGAACATGAAAAACACCATGCTGGGGAGAAAGGTTTTTGCCTCAAGTTTATCTGTGACATGTTAATTTTTTGTGTGTGGTTGTGTGTGTGTTTTAAAGTAACTAACATGTTTAGTACACATGTTTACTCTAAAACAAGTCACATTAAATGCAGTGGAATTTACTTCTGACCAGAAATGCATACAATTGTATTGTGCATTTTTGACATCGCTTTCATTCTTTTTTAAGCATTGCCATTAGCATAAATATATTTCCTTGTCAGAATGATGAGATATAATTGTGTAGATTGCATATTGCATTACATTTGCTGGGTTTTTTTTACATTTTACTGTTACTAGGAGGAAAGGATGGTACCATCTAATCTTGGTCAAAGACAATTTAGCAGGCTTTCTGTTCCATCCCCTTTGTGCATTTAATCTGGTGAATTTTGTTCTTAGAAACCCACATGAAAACGTGTACTTCAATGCATATTTTTGAACATTTTTTCAAAGGATGCATTTCTAAATGTATTTTATTTTATCACAAAATATGCACATTCTTGAGCAAAATTCAGAGAAGTGTAAAATCCAAAGAACAACTATATTCTGATATGTACATTAATCTAGCTGGTGCTGATTGGTCAGTTCAGGCTGCAATTCACAAACAATTAATTCCAGAAGCATTCTAGTTTCCAGTGTTGTTGTGGTCCATATTTTAAGGAATAACTATTTCATTTAATATTACTTACAACAGAAACTGGTGGTTTGTTTGCTTGGGGTGGAGGTGGAGGGAGCAGAACTCTGGAAGAGGTGACCTAAAAGCAGGAAACAGCTTTTTAAACAGTGTGCCATCTTTGTTTTTCAAAACAGCAATGAGGTATCCTCAGTTGTCACATGAATCTTACACATTACACAGTCATGCTAGAGAAACATATAGACGGTAATTTCAGGACTGAAAGGCAGACGTGCAAGTGCTACAGTCAGTGAGTTGTATCAAATTAAAACAAACTCAGAGCAGATCCACTGAAATCAGTGGATGGTTAAACAGGTCATGTCCATTGATTTCAGTGGGTCTACTCTCAATGTGACTTAGTTGGATACAAGTCAGAGATGTTTCAGTAGAAAATTAAAGCATATACAAGATAAACACAGTGAGGTAGGGCAGGACTCACCCTTTATATTTGTGTTGTTGGGTGAACATCTTAGGATATTTTATATGGTACAGTGTTTTATGTTTTCTGGTTTTTAATTGGTTTTATTTTTGTATTATATCTTGTTAGTTCGCTTTGAGACTTTTTAGTGCAAAATGACTAACAAACCAAATAAAGAATGAAATAAACGCACCATGCTAGGGGCTCAGTTTTGGAGTTTCTGAGAACTTGAGCATTGCATAGCTATACAGCAGGGTAAGGAACCTCTGGTTCATGAGCCAATCTGGGCTCATCACCCTTCTCTAAGGCCATTCTGGGCAAGCCATACTGGCTCGTCCTATACCTGATGTCATACAGGTAAGGGCGGTGCTTTGCCAAAACCCACTGGAGCAAAGTGTCCTCGCTCTGGGACTTCAAAGCACCAAATCCCATGACATCATGAAATTGAAAGGTGGGTAGGCTCACCCGCCTATCAAATTTGGCCAGTATGGTGGATCCTGATAAGGATTTGGACCATGGAACCAAAACAGTTCTGGTATATAGCATGGGGTGGATTCCCTGGAGTTGGAAAATTAAAAAAAAAAAAGGTTGCTTTCCTTTCACCTGAATTATTCTTGCATATTGCCAGGAGAGGGTGTTATTTTCGCTCCGTAAGACACACTTTTTTCTTCCTAAAAAGTAAGGGAAAATGTCTGTGCGTCTTATGGAGCGAATGCGTGGTCCCTGGAGCTGAATTGCCCAGGGGCAAAAAGCAGATCATGCTTTTTTTTGGGGGGGGGGGAGAGGCAAGTGGGTGTTGTAACAAAGCCGCTGATCGTTTGCGGATCGAGGAGAGAGATAAGGGACGCTAGAGATAAAGGAGGCTGCCTGGGAGGAGGGAGGTAAAGACAGCAAACTTGCAAAGGGGGAAACCAGGAAGACTAAAGCAATTAGGAGAGAAATTAGAAGAAAAGGAGGAGCAAAAAACTGCTCCAGCTAAGGAAAAGACACTAAGGCAAACAAGAGGGAAGGGAGTGTTGAAAGGAAACAGCTGATCAGTGGGATCGCAAGAGAGATAAGGGGGGAGGTAAAAGCCCATGGATCCTCAGGATTTTTACATTAGGTCACCCCAAATTCACCATCAGATCGTATAGCATGTCCATGGCTACAACCTGCACCAAAAAAATCACGCATCCACTGTTTCCTGGGGCTGCAATGGTGCAAAAATGTGGTTACAAAGCACGGATCCACATGGATCCTCAGGATTTTTGCATTGGGTCTCCCCAAATTCACCATCAGATCACATAGCATGTCCATGGCTACAGCATTAACCACAAAAATCATACATCCACTATTTCATTCAGAATATTTTGTTTCTTGTTTTCCTCCTTAAAAACTAGGTGCGTCTTATGGTCAGGAGAGAAAAAATACGGTAAATTGACAGCATGCTCACTCACATCCCTAATCCTCCTCTTCTGGATACTTACTGTAACTCATTAAAGGCTTCTTAGTTCAATTTCATCTCCCTGTCTGCCATCTTCAGCTTCCTTCCCATGGCTTTACTGACACCTCACTATTTTGTATATCCTGGAAACTTACAATTCCTTGTAAGGGTGTTTTTTTCCCGTTTTCTTTTAAAAATATTGTTCATTTATTTTACAAACTTGGGAACTTGGGTTACCTAGGAAGTATGTAGAAATTTTGTGTAGCCCAATTTTACTTCCAAACTGACAGAAACTCAGCCACCTGAGGGCCAGTATTATTGGGAAGAATGTTTATGATAATCTTATTCAAAGTGAATGGACTGCAAATGGTACAGGATCATTGCTTTTGCCCAGATGTTTAAACAGTTTGTGTTGCTTCTCACCTCTGGAGGACCAGGCGCAGGGCCAAGATGCTGTCTTCTCTTCTGATCTTGACCTGAGAAGGCATGGTTTGTGGATCCAGCCACACTCTTGTGGGTGCTATCAAAAAACAGTAAATATTAGCATGCGGATTGAATTCATAACTTAGAACATCTGTGTTCTGTACACAGAAATGTAAAAGTCTTGGTCAAACAATATAGGATGCAGAAAAGACAGAGAATTGAGACCTTCACTGTCTCTCCTGAATCATATATTGTTTGGTCCATAACAATAATAATAACATCCCGTCCTTCTTTCCAAAGGAACACAGTGCTCTTGGAGGGGAAGCTCTGGATTTTGCCATTGCAGCATAGGGGAAATGAGGTATACCTGAACAGGAGGACTGATTCCAGAAGAGCTTGTTGTCTAGCCCTACAGTATTTTAAAGGAAACCAAACTGGTTTCAGACTTATATGCGAATTGGAATACACATATGAATTCTCCACTTTGAATTTTGCCTTATTGTTTTGCAACAAAATACATACAAACATGCATTACCTTACAGGAAACGGGCATACAAAACTGTGTTTTATGAAGAAATGCATAAATACAAAACACATACAATTTATGGTGCAAGTGCCTACAGATAGGCTGCGCTAGCCATCCCTAATCTGAACAGCTGCAAGTCCTCCACCCCTGCTTTTAATCAAGGCGAATTATAGCTCCAAATCAGCAGCTTCTGGCATCCAAAATCTAAGACTCTACTGCTCAAACTAGCCAGAGTTGGCTTTCCATCCCAATGTTCAATCTGGCCACACATGCCATTCTTAGTATTGAGCGCTTTGCAAATCCAGCAGTTAAACCCTTTTGCAAAAGTTTGGCTGACAATTCTTCACTTAAAAGATTCACCTTGGACTATTTTTCTTCTTTGAAATTTTGTACCGGAACAAGACAATGATGGTGACTGCTGTGACTAAAATGGCTAACAACACTGCAACAATGATGATGATATCTGCAAAAAAAGAACAGGCCATAAACAAATCTGAGATTGTACTGAGAGACAATTCTTGGAAATCATGCTTCCTCAAAGACTCCCTATTCCTCATCTGTGACATAGGAAATGACCCAAAACACATTCTCTCAGCCCAGTTCGTGATGAACTAGATTTTCACAAAAGTGTTGTCAGAAAGCCTCACACCTTCCCTTATCTTCTCCTTCATATCCAAAAGTGACTTAAAGCTTCTGTTTTCACTTTTGACTAAACCATGAGGGAACTGTGGTTTATTCTAACTCTAGTTACTTACCAAACCAGAATGTCAATGCATGGTTTGACCCTGGTTTCTTGTAACTATGGAGAGACCACAATCACCTCAAGGTGAGCATGGTTTAGTCCAAGGTGAATAAATTCACCTCCTTTTGTGAAAGAAGAAGAGGGGAGGTTGCATATGAACCTACCTGAGGCTTTGCTGCAGTTCATTTGTGACCATCTAAACCATGGTTTAGAGAATTGCCTGGCATCTGTAATATAGGGTTAATTATACTGCCCCATCTTACAGAAATTGTAAGGATTAAAACAAGCTACTGTAAGTGAATTGCTTTGGATACACAAAAGCTTGTAGTTGTTGTTCTAGGATAAATGTGTGCATGAGAGACAGTGTGTCACTCCGAGCTCTTTGGAGTGAAGGGCAGGATAAAAATATAATAAAGAAATGTGTTGATAATAGGTAAATAAATAATGGGTCACCATCCTCTTTGCATACAACTTCTTGCTCAGAGAAGGGTCATCTTGCAGCTAAGTAATGAACTACATCCTTCTTCAAATAGAGCTCTTCGTCTCCTCTTTCTGGCCATCATCAAACCAGCAAGAATTCAACAGGATGATATCACACTGTATGCTAGGATAATTGCATTTGTTTTCCTGCTACCCAAGGATCCTTCCCCAAATTACATAAGATGCAGTCCTAACCCTACTTACCTGGGGATAAGTCCCATGGAATTCAGTAGGACTGAGTAGATTTGGTTAAGATTTTACTAGTTATTACTCCCCCCCCCCCATATTTTTATAAACTTGTTAATACTTTGGGCCGCCTGAGTTTGCTACTTTATCAGGAGAAACTTGCAGTCATGCAGAGCAATAGAAGAGAGTTTGGTGTACTTTGCTACATGTCCTGGAGACAGAACTTTGGTAAATATGGCCAACCTAATGCCACTGAAATCAGCAGTAAGGGAAGAATTTATAAGAAGCAAAGGTGAGTCACCCCAAATGACAGCAGTGCATTGAGTTCCCCCATCACAACTCCAGCAATGTATTACAGAACTTACCTGATGTCCTGATGTTGTTACCTAAATGATCATTCACTTCCATCACTAGCCCAGCTATGTGGAGCAGGAGAACACACAGAGAAATGGCTTATGCCAAACTGAGTTTGCAGCTGCAAACTTTCAACAATATTGGGACAGGGTGGGTTGTTCCCTGAAATAGCGGCCAATATTTCAGGTGGGATTTTTGGAAGAGTTCATGGTGAGGCAGGTTTACCATTTGTGGCAGAGAAGCTGTGCCGCTGCCCTCCCCCCCCCCGCCACCCCAACTCCCAATAAGGTAACAATAAAGCTCTGTTTAGCGGCTGGTGGATGCCCTTTTTCACCCCAGAATACTCCAGAACGATGCTGGATTTGGGGCATTCTGGGGAAAACATGTCAGCTGCAAACTGGTAGCTTCTGAGAAGAGCTCCTTCATTACCTTCATTTTACTGTTTAGAGCTTTAAAAGGGGTAGACACTCATGGGCGCCCCCATTGCAAATAGTAAGCCTGCCTCCAAATCCATTCAGAAGTCCTCACCCAATAGCCCAAATCCCCCTCCCCAAAAAATTAATCATCTGTGAATTGGGTGGCAAATTTGGGGAAGAGGCCATTTTGTTAGCCATATGACAAAAGAGTCCACGGTTATGTTAGGTGAAAAGAAAGGGGGAGTGTGGCAGGGGGCTCCTGCTTTAACTCACATCTATTTGCTGTGGGGTCATCACAATTTGGTGGCGCCCATCCTTCTTCACACTGGCATAGCAGCTCATGGTCACATACCTGTGATAGCACAGACCTAGCATTAGTCTCTAAAATGGGCACATGGAAAAGAAGCAGACCATGCTTGCTTTATTCATTCATTCATTTATTTTTATCGGAAAGATGTCTATCCTGCCTTTTGATCAGGTCTGTTATTCAATGCAGTGCAAGTCATAAAACAAACATTTTAAAATAAATACAAAATTATATAGATAATAAAGGCACAGCTCCAACAAATTATCAAAACTGCAGTCAATCCCAAAATTGGTGTAAGTCATCAGCTGTTAGCCAAAATACTGAACACACACACGCACACATGTGTGTGCGCGCACACACACACGCACACAGACTTCTTTGAGAAGGGGGAAACTTTCAAAAATGTCTTGTCTACCTGAGATTCAAAGGTGGTCAAGGCCTCCTTGTGGAAAGGAATGGCCCTCACAATTTACAGAAGTAGAATCATAGAATCATAGAATCATAGAATCATAGAGTTGGAAGAGACCACAAGGGCCATCGAGTCCAACCCCCTGCCAAGCAGGAAACACCATCAGAGCACTCCTGACATATGGTTGTCAAGCCTCTGCTTAAAGACCTCCAAAGAAGGAGACTCCACCACACTCCTTGGCAGCAAATTCCACTGTCGAACAGCTCTTACTGTCAGGAAGTTCTTCCTAATGTTTAGGTGGAATCTTCTTTCTTGTAGTTTGGATCCATTGCTCCGTGTCCGCTTCTCTGGAGCAGCAGAAAACAACCTTTCTCCCTCCTCTATATGACATCCTTTTATATATTTGAACATGGCTATCATATCACCCCTTAACCTCCTCTTCTCCAGGCTAAACATGCCCAGCTCTCTTAGCCGTTCCTCATAAGGCATCGTTTCCAGGCCTTTGACCATTTTGGTTGCCCTCCTCTGGACACATTCCAGTTTGTCAGTGTCCTTCTTGAACTGTGGTGCCCAGAACTGGACACAGTACTCCAGGTGAGGTCTGACCAGAGCAGAATACAGTGGCACTATTACTTCCCTTGATCTAGATGCTATACTCCTATTGATGCAGCCCAGAATTGCATTGGCTTTTTTAGCTGCCGCGTCACACTGTTGGCTCATGTCAAGTTTGTGGTCAACCAAGACTCCTAGATCCTTTTCACATGTACTGCTCTCAAGCCAGGTGTCTCCCATCTTGTATTTGTGCCTCTCATTTTTTTTGCCCAAGTGCAATACTTTACATTTCTCCCTGTTAAAATTCATCTTGTTTGTTTTGGCCCAGTTCTCTAATCTGTCAAGGTCGTTTTGAAGTGTGATCCTGTCCTCTGGGGTGTTAGCCACCCCTCCCAATTTGGTGTCATCTGCAAATTTGATCAGGATGCCCTTGAGTCCATCATCCAAGTCGTTGATAAAGATGTTGAATAAGACCGGGCCCAAGACAGAACCCTGTGGCACCCCACTAGTCACTCTTCTCCAGGATGAAGAGGAACCATTGATGAGCACCCTTTGGGTTCGGTCAGTCAGCCAGTTACAAATCCACTGAGTGGTAGCATAGTCAAGACCACATTTTACCAGCTTCTTTACAAGAATATCAAGTAAACCTCTGGTCACCCATTGCCAGGACTCCAGCAGTGGAGAGACTGCTGCTGTCCTTCTTGTGGGCTTCCATGGGCATCTCGTTGACTGCTGTAGAACAGGATGCTGGACAAGATGGGCCTTTGGCCAGACTCCACAGGGCTTTTCTCATGATCTTATGTTCATGCTATGATGACCTGGCTAACCTTAGAAACTGTGATCCTGTCTCCAGCCTTCCTGATTTGGGCAAGGTGCCTGAGTGTGTGGTCACTTCTCAGCACCAGGATTTTCAGGATGAAACCAATTTTGCTTCTGTCCTGGTTTTAGGACCAAAACTGTCTTGCTCAGGACAGTGGATGGGCTACACGGGGCCTACATCACCTGGCTCCCTTCCTCTTGTCTTCAGACTGCTAATTTAATTGCTGCTTTTCATGGCTGTAAGTTTTTTAGTAATACATGCTTATTCTTCAATGTATTATTAGGTTTCCTTTTTTCTTTCTTTTGTAAGTTTCTCTGGGTACTTATTGGTAGAAGGATATAAATATTAAATAATATTTTAAAAAACAGAATAACACATTTAACAACAATATAGTAATAATATTAAATTAATAATTTCTTTTTTGTAAACCACTTTGAGGGTTTTTTACAATCAAGTGGTAAATAAATTTTATGAAATAAATAAAATAATAATAATAATAATGGTGACATTTAACGGTCACTGTTGAAATGCCATCTGGTTCAGGGCTTGCTTTCAGCATCAGGTTTTGCCAGCAAGAGAGGACTTTGCATCCAATTCCACACATTTTGGCTAGTGCAACAAACTCTGGGCTCTTCATGCCATGGGACTCAAGGGTTAACCTCAACCAGGGAGCCCAAGTACATGTCCCGATACATCTTCGTTGGCTCCTGTATAAAGTAGGGATGGGTGAATCTATCCATTTTTGTTTCCTTCTCCTAGTATAAACTTTGTTGTGTGCATTTTTGCCTAATGTATACAGTTTTGAAGGAAATTTCCCCGAATACAATGCAGTTTTGCACAGTAATATGTGTATTTTGTGCACACTTTCCCCCAATATACACATCTGGGTTAGAGAACTGCATTGCAAAAATTAGGATAAGTTAAAATTTTGAAGGATAGCTGCATTCCAATTCTCATTAAAATGCAACTGAACACATTTCTCTCCCCCATCCCTAGTAGAGACAGTTCAGAGAGCAACATACACAGGACTGGGTCACTGGCATCCGTCAGAAGCTACAGAAGAAATACTGGGCATGGGCAGAGGTGGGGGAAAGCAAAAGAGCCAAAGTCTCCAATGCAGAAATTCAGTGACTCATTGAGGAACATGGTCCTGGGAGAATACTGTGAGAGGAAGGGTGAAGAATACAGGCATACGTGCTCAACAGAGGAAGGAAAGGTTTGTGTCTCAAAGCAGAATGTTTACAAAGGCCACTAAAAAGCAGCCACCATTATTCTTCCCTTAACCGTGATGTAACTCTTACAGCATGTCCTTGGCACTTGGAAGAGCAGTTGGTAGACCTGTAGGCTCTCTCAATCTCGACACATTGCCCATTGCTGCAGACCTGAAAGCAAAATGCCAAAGATGATCAACAGGGTGGGGCGGTTCTTTTCTTTTATGCAAAACTGAACACCACTGAAGCTTCAGTTAAAAGGTTCAAGTAGTGAGTAAAGTGAAAGAGCCTTTTCTGTGTGGGAACATGGATAGCCTCAGGTAGTATAGATAATATCTGGCTTAAGGTACAAATAGTGTGACTGGATATAACTTTCTGACCCTGTGCTCCCACCCGCCATGTTGGTAGGCAGCTCAGATCACAGTCTGATATGGCAGCTTTCTTGCTTTGTTGTGTCCTCAAAGAAGGGGTACTTGTCAGTTTCTTGAGCCTGTGAGTCTAGAGACCTGCTTGGCTGGGGAGGAGATGGCCAGTCATGACTGAACTATACTAACTTCTGACCTCCATCTTAAGATCCATGTCACTTTAGAAGAGGGGTCATCAATGTTTTTTAGGCTCATGGGCACATTTGAATTTTTGAGTGGGTGCTGTGGGTGACACCTCCTCTGGTCACTTCTCTCCCTTCTAGGCCAGATGTGCTTCTTCTAAGTCCAGTGCTTCTTTTGTACAAAAAGAGGTGCTGGTACTCACCATGAAGTTGTTCCAGTAAGTGCCACAGTTTTTAACAACAACAAAAGGAGGTGTAATGGTTCTAGGGGTTGCTCGTGCGTAAGCCGGTGCAAACACCTGGCTGGATTGCCTGAGTGAACCTTTTCTGTCCGGACAGCCACTCACCCGTGGCTGTCTCAATCGCTGGCAGAATCTGTCAGTGGGCGTTTCTTAAACTTCTTCCAGCAAAGAAGCTCTTTGACGCCTAGTCTCCTCCTACTTTCTCTGCACGAAAGCCTTCTGCGCAAGGAGGGCGTAGGCAGCAGAGGAGCTTTACTCTCCCCGCTGGTCCCCGGCAAGGAGTCATGGGACCGCCTCGCCGCTTCCCCCATCTGCCCCCCTTCTCCACTGGTGCTACGCTGATTCTCTTCCCCAGAAGATGGGCTGCCTCTCCCAATCCCGGGACACTCTCTGGAATCCCTCTGGATTTTGCTCTCTCCCTCCGGCACTGATGGCAGTTCCCTGACAGGAGGTGCTGGTACTGCGTACCCTTCAGTACCCCTTTTTAAAAAAGCACTGAGCACCCCACATGAGACAGAAGCACACACACACTTCCTTTTCCCAAGGCACCTGGGAAAAGATCCAGTAGAACTAATCAGAACCTTGTAAAGGGAGAGGGAAAGAACATCACTCTTCCAGCTTCCACCTTCAGCTCTAGGCATTTTCAAGGGACGAAGAAGGTAACCACCCTCATCACCTCATGGAAGCAGAGAGGGTGGGGTCAGAGGGCTTCCTAGGCACCACAGGAGGAATTCAAGGGCCCCAGAGCCCCAGTGGGAGCCAGGTAGGTGACTTCTGCTTTCAAAGAATAAGTGCATGCCAATTTCACTCCTTCAAAAGGCTCAGAAAAATTGTAATGGGATTAAATCTTCCAGCTGTAGCATTCAGGATATTATTGTGCCGGCATTTGAAGTATGTGAACATAACTTGGACAGGCTCAGTTCACAGGCAGGATCAGAAGCATGGCTGACAAATGAAATGAACCCCAAAGGTGCAGCCCCGCTTGGCAAGCTACCGGTGTGAAACGGCTCACTCTGTTCTTGCAGCAATTCCAACAACCGCATTACAGAAATTGTGCTTGAGAAACCTCCCCCCTGACCACACCTGTGGATCAAAGGAAGAGGATGTGAGTCACTAACCATGCCTTCTCCACATTTTGTTCCAGTGGCAACCATTCCACCATCTTCTTGGTCCTTGCCTGGGAAACTGCCTTTGCATGTATCAAACGACACTAGACTTCCAGTTGAAGGCATTCGAGAACCCCCTGTACAATATAACTTGCCACACTTTATATCTCTGAAAAGGAAGCAGACAGTTACCTTGAGTTTTTCTGTTAAACAAGAACAGACTAATTAGGGAAGTCATATTTTTCTCTCATTTGGAATCCTCATGCATTCACCAGATTAACTGATATTCATTGGCCCTTCTGGGATAGCTCAGTTGGTGGAGCATGAGATTCTTCATCTCAGGGTTGTGGTTTCAAGCCCCACCTTGGGCAAAGGATTCCTGCATTGCAGGGGGTGGACTAGATGACCCTCATGGACCTTTCCAAGTCTACAATTTTATGATTCTATTATTTATTTTTATTACTACAGATAGGATAAGCAGAAGACTGCTCATCTAGGGATGGATAAACCTATCAATTTCAGTTCTCTCAGCTCCTCATTCCCCACCCCCAGTCTTAAATTCAGTTTTTGCACTTCCACAAGAATTTCCCCCCAAAAAAGGTTTTATACGAAAACCTAATTAAAATTTGTCAGCATTTCGGAGCAAATTTAATATACCGTACACATATTTGTATGATCTTTTGACTAATATACACATTTTTTCTGCAGTTTCCCCTAATTTAATGCTTTTTGGGTATGCTATCTTCACTAATATATGCATTTATAAGCGCATTTAACCCTAATATGCATTTTTGAACACGTTACTTATCTGGGGAACTGCATTGCAAAATCCAGAGAGGTGCAAAATTTGAAGGATGGCTATTTTTCACATATTGTCTCAGAATGTGCTAATTAAATGTGAACTGAATCTAGTTTCTCCCTCGTCCTTATGCTCACCTCACCCCCAAATTAACTGGGTTGTTTGCATAGCCCAGCGGAACTCTGAAGCTCATTTAGGAGATGGTTCAAGGTATGAAAGAATACTCAAAGAACCCAATTCCCACCACCCACAGCTGACCCAATCTGCCTGTCTTTAAAGGTGAGAGCAGAGCCATGGTGTTTGCGAGCAGAACTGGAGGACCATTTGCAGCAGGTTGTGCTTCCTGACCTGAACCTCCTTGTAGAAATCAAGCAGAGACGGCTGACCTTTAAAGAGCCCCTGCTTAATTTTTCATGATGCCTCCTATTGGATACTTTTATCCCCCACCTTTCTCACATTCCGGAGCCCAAGGTGGTATGCATAGGGTTTCCAGGAATTGGTCAGACCAGACCCAAGGTGATGTGCTCTCAGACAAACCATGCCCTGGGACTGATTTGTGTTTGTGGTGCTTACTTTTTCCCACATGGTATGTATGTGCCATTAGCCTTCTTGCAATGGCCATAATAAACCCCGTTCTGGTTTATAGCATAGCAAGAATCCACACCCACTGTGGCACCTGAAAAGGCAAAAGAAATAAAATAAAATCTTCAGCATGTAGCAGTATAATGGTATGAATCGCAAAAGCAGAACGTGAGCACAACACAGTGCCGGATCAAGCCAAAGGCACAACTTTTTACCAGTCCTTTTTCTGCTGTGTTGCTAGGTGGTGTGGCTGAGCTTAAAGAGGTTTGGAATAGGCGTAAGTCTCTCCTTGCCACATCCCACCCCTTTTCAGGGAGTCACACCAGCTTCGGTTCTCCTGGATGTGTCCCAGCAGAGGCAGCTGAGCCCTGATTGAGCTACAGTGAAGGAATTACACCAATGTAGCCTCAGCTGAGCTCCGGCTCAGCAGGAAAGACCAAGTTCCACTGAATACAAAACAAATCTGTAAGCCTCTTTCAAGTTAGATGTTCAGTAACTCCAGGGTTCACTCACCTGGCCCCCAAAGTGCAATGCATTGGTTCTGCAAAGTGGGACACTTCCCCATGTAGCAGTAACCCTCGTTATTTTTGCAAGGGAATCCATTCACTCGGAAGCGATCCATGGGACATTGCTGAGAGGTCCCTGTGCACAGTTCTGGTAGATCGCAGTCATGCTTCACTGGCCGGCATACAGCGCCTGCTCTTCTAATCTGTAGGGGAAAGTGAAAGGTCATCCAATCCCTCATTATTTATCATATTTAGCAGTGGAGATCAAATATAAATGATCATGGTTCTTCCAGTCTACAGTGAAGCCTTCTCTTCATCTGCCTTGCTGGCTACCTACTAGGGAAGGATGGGCATCCCAGCCCAAACAGCTCCAGGGGTTTCCACGAGACCCTCAGTGTTTGTGGGAGGGGATTCAAGCACATACTGGAAAATTTAGTTTCGCAAAGTCAATGTGGATTAAAGTGCTCTACTGCAATAAATCCACTGTTAAACAAGAAAAGAACTATTTTTCAATTAGGAAAGAGGCAGGGAAATGTATTAAGAAGTATGAATGCTCATTGTTCTATAAGCTCTCCACAAACAAATCAGAATGAATGCTCAATAAACAGGTCTTCTGGAGAAGTCCAAACATAGCCTGGATTCCTGACTGAGCCCATAGGGTTGTATCCAACATTAAGTCAGACCCATTGAAATTAATGTACATGCCTAACCTAGGTCCATTAATTTCACTGGATCTAGTCTGAGTAAAGTGAATTGGCTACAACCTATAGTGTTACATTGCCTGAAAGCCACAATGGCATTCATGTCATAAGTGGAGACCATCATATTCAACTTGTGTTACTTACCAGAACTAAGAGGTTGCCATAAGAGGTCCATTCTTCTCGTGGCAACAGAACTACTCAACCTCCCCACAAATTCCTGTGCAGACATGTTAATAAGTTTCAACTGAGCTTTAGAAAGCAACCCAGAAAGAATAAAAATATGCTTGCTATCAATATGGGCAATAGAGAGAAATAGAGATTACATCCCCATTTGACCAATGTGCAGCAAGATTGAGAGGCATTATTTTCAGTGTAGGAAACAAAGTCTTACCTGGCAATTTTCACAACACTCCCCATATCCACATTTAGCACCTGGCTTCAGTTTACAAGTTGCAGCCTCGCAGCAGTCATTTTTGCATTCCTTAAAACCAAGAACAGTCCTGTATTATCAACTTAATTTTGCCTGATCTCTTCCAGTTAGTATCTTTTCAGATGGGTAACTAATAAAGGAGGAAAGTATTTCTTCAGCGCACTTCATCTAAAATACTAATGATCGTAAACTGAAAGGCGTATTTAACCAGAGCTGTGTGACCTTGGTGTTAAAAAAAGTCAAAATGAAAAATGAAAATTCTGCACTAAGCTAATTTAAATGAGGTGTCAAGAAAAGTTTAATTTTGCAATCTGTATAAATTGTGCAAAACCAAATATATTTGCATAATATTCCCCCCTTTTATTTTGTATAATTTATTCTGTCTAGCTCCTCATGGGTTTATGCAAGAGACTGTCACCCTCTCCCTGCCAATTGCAAATCACGCTCAGAGCAGGCCTCTGGCTTCTCATTTGAAAACATAATCTGAAATGTTCGATGTTCAGCACCCAATGCCATATTCAGTGCTTCTTCTATGTTCCCACAGAACAGTTAATGAGTAGTTACCACACTGTTACTTTAAGGTCCTATTGGAAAGATACTACATCATGGAATTGTATCATTCCAGGTGCATTGTTTGGTCTTGTGCTGGCAAAAGGAAAAAGGAGAGAGGAAAAGGAAAAAGGAAAAGGAAAGGCACTGCTGCTGCTGCTGCTACGTAGTTATCCCAGGGCAAGATCCAGGTTTGATGGGATCCTCAGCAACATATCCTCTGATGGACTCTTTCCTACAGAAGTGGATTTGCCTTACAGAAGTGGTGGGAGCAGCGGGTGGCTATTTCCCACAATGCCCAAGTGACACGATGGCAGGAGCACTGTGGAAAATTTAAATGGTAACTCACAGGCCCCAGGACAGAAGTCAATAGCCGTGGGCCCTGTCTCAGAGCCAGGGTGAGGGCAGCTGCCCAGGTTCTGGCTGCTGATGCTAGGCTTGAGTAATTACCCCCCTGCCCAACCCCCCAAATTGCAGTTATTTCCCTTCACACATCATTTTCTTTTTCCAATTTGGTATCATCTTGCATTTCCCTGCTCCTTCAAACAGAGGATACGCCACTTCTATCTGCATTAATAATATTTTTTAAGGAACTTTTGCAACCCACACTTCAAAATTAAAATTTCCAAATTTGAAATTGGGACATTGGTACATTGATACCTTGCATTGCCAATCCATGTGTTCTTTAATGTGAAAGTGCACCCAGTTACGCCATGAAACAGCCATAGGATTCTGTTAAGAATTCCACCCATTGACAAGTTCCTTTCCCCAGCAGTTCATTAACAGATACCTCTGGAGAGCCGCAGTCACATTCTTCTCCCTCTTCAACAAAGTCATTCCCACAGACTGGGGTTGCAATGATATCTTTTGGAGATGGCATGTTAGTTATACAGGATGGGGTCCGGTCCATGATGTATTTCTGAAAATCCTGCAAACTGCAGGAGCTGAAGTCCCGGGGAGTTTTGTAGCTGTAAAGATGAAAAGATATGTGGGAAATTATTCTAGCCAATAATTGGGAGGGATGATATAGTGCAGTGGTAGAATGCATGCTTTGCAGGCAGAAGGTCACCTCCAATCAACACAGGTCTGGCAGCAGCAAACAGGTGACGAGAAAGGCCTTTGCATCAGATCACAGCCACCACCTCAAGCTGAAAACCTTTAGCAAAGAACCAAAGGGATGTACATTCTCAGTCAGCCAGATAATACTGGTATGGATGGACTATATCTATTGGAATCATAGAGTTGTAGGGTCATCTAGCCCAACCCCTGCAATGCAGGAATCAATGAATTGCTTAATGCCACAATAGGCTTCTAAAATATAAGAACCAGTTGCACAGATATTTAAATATTGTGGCTTGGTAGTTTCCTATAGTCCTAAATAAGCAAAGATTCATCATCACTAAATCACTCAAATTCTTAAGGAAACACAGCAGATGCATGGATAGACTAGAGTGGTGCAAATTTTGTTTTCCTAATGTGTCAATTTTGGCTACATCTACCCTGAGTCTATATAAGATGCAAACACACCTTTCCCCTCAATATGTCACAACCAGTTCTCACAGATTCTGCACAAGTCTAAAGACCAGGTATATAGTCATTTTAAAAAAGAAAAGAAAAATACAAGCTGTATTTTGGATGAGAACCAAAACCTAAGACCACAGTCAGGACAAGAATTCTCACTCTGTGGTGCAGTTTTCTTGCAGAATTTTGTATAGACGTCTAAGAAACCTATTTATGCTTACCACTAGTATTATGCAAGATCCCTTTTTGCACAGCATGACTTGGTGACCAATGTTCATGCCCGTGAGAGATGTGCATTCTATCAAGAAGAAGTCACCAGGGAAGACTGCAACTGATTTGCTCAATGCACATCCATTTTTAAAAAAATAATGCCTCTAATCAGTTTACAAGACATATTACATTTATCAATAAAACAGTACAAAAGGCAAGTAATTAAAACATGTAAAATATAATTAAAATTAGCAGTAAAAGATCAAAACCCGCCAACATCTGTATGTCTGGATAAAAAAGGTTAAGATACCCCTGACCGTAAGGTCCAGTCGCGGACGACTCTGGAGTTGTGCACTCATCTCGCTCTATAGGCTAAGGGAACCGGCGTTCGTCTGCAGACAGCTTCCGGGTCATGTGGCCAGCATGACTAAGCCGCTTCTGGCGAACCAGAGCAGCACACGGAAATGCCATTTACCTTCCCGCCGGAGCGGTACCTATTTATCTACTTGCACTTTGACGTGCTTTTGAACTGCTAGGTTGGCAAGATACTTCTGGATAGGCTTGCCTTAAACAAATGTTTTAAGCAGGCGTCTGATGTCAACAGGCAAGGAGTTCCAAAGTGTAGGTCCTGCCACATTAAAAGGCTGATTTCTTTCAAGTATAGAATGAGTGTTATCTGCAGTACTATTTTTCTAGAAAAAGAAGCCATGAACACCTCCCTTATTCTCTTAGAATGGCAATGGTGCCCACCTAAGAGGTGCAGGAACTCAGTTCCGGTGAGTTTTGGCTGAAAAAAAGGTCCTAGTTACTTGTAACAGTGCCAGTTCAGCAGATCTAAGCAGTCAATTGGGCATATATGAGATAAGGTGATCCTACAAGTAAACTGGTCCCAAACTGCTAAGGGGTTTATATGTAATGTCAATATTTAGTCCTTATTGTATTTTAATATTTTTCTGGAAGCTGCCCAGAGTGGCTGGGGAAACCCAGCCAGATGGGTGGGGTATAAATAAATAAATAAATAAATAAATAAATAAATAAATATTATTCAGTCACTTCATCTGAAAAAGCTTTATTCTGGTCAAACTAGCAGCCAAGCTATGTGTTACATTAAAGCTCTGTGTTTGGAATTCCATATGTAATTTTCTTTTTTTTAAAAGCTGTTGTTTTTTATCAGGGCCATGGCTAGAGGAAGAGCGATCTAACTCTTCTCTGAAATATCATGACCCCGATACAGATTGCTCCTCCAGACCTGCTATTAGCTTTGAAGGGGAAGATGTGTTGGCTTTAAAATATAAGTTTTCTGCTTTCCCTCTCCATGGCTAAGAAAAGCTCCAAGGAATTGATTTGGGTCCATGCTAAACCTCCCATGCATGGCCTCGATCCAAATTGTACCTCATGGCTGCATTTGCAGAAATAAAAAAAAATCATGCACACAGTTCCAGTGTAATGTGTCATTTGGCCCTATTGTGAAACAATTTGCTTAGGTTTAAAGGAACACTTAAATAGAGATTAGGGATGGACCAATCTGTCATTTTTTGTTTCTTTCAGTTTCTCATTTTCCTCCTATCTTAAGTTCAGTTTTCCACATTTTACCATCATTTTGTCATTTTTTTAATGTTAAAGGTCCTCATGAAAACTCATCAGCATTTTAGTGTGAATTTCTCAGGTTTATATACATTTTTGTATGTCATTTTTGCCAATATAAGCATTTTTGTGCAGATTTTACACTAGCATACGCATTTTTATACACATTGCTTGGCTTGAGAATGGCCTGGCTGAATTCAGAGGAGTGAAAATATCAAAGGATGTTTCTATTGTTTCGGAAAGCACATATTAAGGGAGGGAGGGGGAGAGGAATAGTCACCAAGTCACATCATGAGAGCAAAAGGGGATCTACTGAAAACCACTCACAACCAGACGTGGTTTTCTGTTAAGGTCATAACAAAGTTGAGCCAGAAACCTCAGCACTTGCTTGTTGGGGAAAAGCAGACATTCTTGAAGCAAGTGCTTCTGTGTGAAACACCAAAGAAATCCTTTCACATATTAAAACTGCATATGATGCACAAATTCCATTAAATAACTCCCTGAACATGAGGAAGGAGCACCCTGGGCTTTTTGCAGCAAGTACAGAAGCTTCCCAAACAACTGCATGCTCTATCAAGGCTGCAAGAGGCTTACACAAAAGACAGCAGAAGTCTGCAATAGAGCCATGTCTAGCAAGACCTATTTCCGAGCCTAAGCAAAACAACAACATCAATCAGCCAGCAAACAAAATTCTGTGATCAATTGATTTGACTGGTAGAGGAACTAGTCAGGAATGCATTAACAGTCTCTCAACTTTCTTAAAAAATGAAAAGCAGCTGCAAAGTGCTGCCACTTTAAGTGGAAGAAACATGTGGAGTGGGCTGCTTAACCCTTTCTACTCCCACCATTTCTCAGTTCAAGATTGCTCTCTCTAATTGTATTTATTTAACAAAATTTATATACCACTTGGCTGTAAGAAAACCCAGTTTTTATGCCCAGTTTAACTAAATCTCTCCTCTGCTAACAAAGAAGCAGGTGCTACTTTCAGCAGACAATGGGTTAAGCACTTTTGCTCTCCAGCAGAGTTTTCAGAAAACTGCACCATCCTGGCAACAGTCCCATGCAACACAGCTGAATTATTAATTCAAAACTGTTTAGCAGCAATTGCATTCAAAAGCAACCACAGGTTTTGCCAGACTCCTCTGGCAGGTACAGGGGACTCACCTGAGCTGCGCTGCCATGATGCATGATCCAGAACTGCACTTACAGAAACTTGCATCGTGATTCATGCCAAAGTTATGCCCCATTTCATGGGCCATGGTTGCACCAATAGCAATTGGGTTTGGGTTGTGATCCTGCAGAAGGGAGAATAGTTAACCTATTGTTAGTCTTCCAGGAAACAGAAGATGATGGTGGCTATTAGCATTGCATGGAAAAGCTCAATGAAATTTGGAGTGAATATTAGGCTTGGGAGGTGGGTGGAGGGAGGGGAGGAAAATCTAGTCATTTTCAAGGGTCTGTTGTTTGTTAATAGCAGCTATTTTTTCACTTCTTAAAAAAAAATGGAATTGTTGCCAAAAAATTAAGGGGCCTAAGTTAAAGGTAAAGGTAAAAGTACCCCTGACCATTAGGTCCAGTCGTGGCCGACTCTGGGGTTGTGGCGCTCATCTCACTTTAGTGGCCGAGGGAGAGGGTCTACAGAGGGGAGCACAGAGGGGAGGTAGCAGCTGCCACCAGTCCAGTAAAATATTTCAGAAAAACAGTTTCTGAACCCCCCCCCCCCAAATGGCCACTTCTGAATGTAAAAGCAAATTTGGGGGGAAGCATTTCTGCTCAGCTCTATTCTCTCTTTATGCATCACATGCAAGAGCGTTTTTTGAAAGGGCTGCAACTTGCTTGGAGGGCAGATGCTCTGCGTGGGCAAAGTTCCACGTTCCATCCCTGGCATCTCCAGACAGGGCTGGAGATAAGCCCCCTCTCCGAAACTCTGGACAGCTGCTGCCAGTCAACGTAGACCATACTGAACTAGACAGACCTACAGCTACTCAGTGGATAAGGGATGGGGAACATCAGGCCCAGGGTTCAAACTCAGCCTCCCAGACCTCTCTATCTTCTCAGGCCACATGCCCCCCCCCCAGGCCATGCCCGTGACTGGCCCTGCTTTGCACCCTCATTGCAGTACTATTTTTCAAGAAAAAGAGGTACCAGAACTGACCACGAACACCATCTTTGTTCTTTTAGAATGGCAATGGGGCCCACCTGAGAGGTGCCGGAACTGAGTTGCGGTGAGCTCCAGCTGGAAGAAAGCTGAGTGCTTTTGCTTGGCTACAACCTGTCCTTGATCTTTGTTAATGTCTCTTGCTTGTCTAGATATGGGTGGAGAGGGCTACTTAATGTATAGATCTGTGCAGAAGTGAGTATATGTGGAAACTAGCCCACTATCCAAAGATAAAAATTTATATTTGTTGCTCCACCCACTTTTGCGATCCCTCCCCATCCCCCTAGAAGGCTGCCCAAATTATCTGGTGTACCAGATCAGCTTCACCAGGGTTCCCCCCTCCCTCTAGGGAAGCAGCAGTAATGGTGTCACCAAGAAGCTGGGGTTGTGGTTCTGCCCCGCCAAGCGAGCTGCTTCTGAGTAGCTTCTTTTATTCATATGTTCTGTTTCCAATTTACATTGCTTTCTGGCAGGCCAAAGTGTTTAGTCAAAGGGGAAAAGTAAATGAAATTAATAATCTAACAGCATGCATGGCATGCTCCAACAGCATGTGTGGAGGCTGGTTGTGTTTCTGTTTCCTTCCCAGGATATTTCAGCAAGATCTAGGCCTCCAGAATTAGTGAGCGTCTTCCAAGGCTGACACAGCCTAACAGCTACATGTGGTGACCCACCAAAGGCTCGAGGAGAAACCTCTTTGTTGCTCCCTGCCTCGGGTTGCAAAGTGGAACAAGTTTCCAAGCACCCCACAGCTGCTGTCATTGGTCATTCCTTCCACAGAGTTCGAGGCAGCCTACATCGTTCAATTTTAGAGGTAGAAAGGATCCCTGAGGTCATCAAGTCCAACCCCTTTTCCAGCCTCTGTGTAATTACCTCCAGCAAAGTTGAACTCACCAGCTCTCTGGAAAGCCTGTTCCACTGTCAAACAGCAGTTGCCATTCCTTCTACTAACACTTATCCAAAATCTGCTCCCTTGCAACTTCCACACATTAGATCTAGTTCTGTTTTTTTTTTCTGGAGTAGGGGGAGTCAATGTGGTAACTTCCCTATGTGGTTAGGCTCCAGCTCCCATCCATCCTAGCCAGCATGGCCATATGGGCTAACCCTGCTCTGGAGCAACAGTAACTGTAGATTTACACATGTATATGTGCAAAGGAAAGTCGTGAATGACTCTGCAGAACTGCTTCTGGGTCATGTGGCCATCATGACTAAGCCGCTTCTGGCATACCAGAGCAGCGCACGGAAACGCCGTTTGCCTTCCCTTCTGGAGCGGTACCTATTTATCTAATTGCACTTTGACGTGCTTTTGAACTGCTAGGTTGGCAGGAGCTGGGACCGAACAACGGGAGCTCACTCCGTTGCGGGGATTTGAACCACCGACCTTCCGGTCGGCAAGCCCAAGGCTCAATGGTTTAGACCACAGTGCCACCTGCGTCGCTTGAGTAGGGCTTAGTTTAGACCACAGCGCCGTGATGCATAAATTGGTAAAACTAGATACACAGTTGGAGGGCCACCAGTTCCCAACCTTGACCACCTCAGCCTAGTGAAAGCAGTGAGTGGGGGAATGCAGAGAGGAAGGATAGCACAATAGCATGACTCCCGTCACACCCAGTGGCACACACACCCAATGAGATCTTGTTCTGTGACAAATTAACAGCCTGGGCTGAGTTGTGTATGTTCTGGAGCACCATAAGTCCTTCAAATCGCCACAATACAATAACACATTTGTATTCCACACTATTTGTTACATTACAAATGAAAACAAAATACAGAATGTTTTGTGTGTGTGTGTGTCCCTCGTTAATTGTGCTGCTTTAAGGGTCAATGTTAATTTTATTTTTCACGGTTAAGGCTTTGTTTGACATTGTGCAACTTTCTCTATTTGCCATGCTGAGATAGGGTCATAAACCATCCAGACATTTACCTTCCTGCCGGAGCAGTACCTATTTATCTACTTGCACTTTTGACATGCTTTTGAACTGCTAGGTTGGCAGGAGCAGGGACCAAACAACGGGAGCTCACCCCGTCGCGGGGATTCGAACTGCTGACCTTCTGATCGGCAAGCCCTAGGCTCTGTGGTTTAGACTGTGGGATGTAAACACAGGAGCAGTCAATGACAACATTCCTAGAGTGTACATGTTATAACATGGGGAGGGATGTCAGTCCAGCAAGCAGGTAAACTTCCTGGGGATGGACTTCCTCCGCATGTGACCAGAGGTGGGTGTGGCCTCACCTGTGCAGGTAAATGATAAAAGCACAGGGCAGGCAGCCATCTCTCTCTCTCTGCCATTTTCCTTCAATGAGGAAGCATCTAAAGATGCTCTCTTGGCTCTCAGCCAAGAGAGGAGATAAGGACTATCTTGCTACAAGATAGATTCTGAATGTATGTAACCTTTTTAAGCTGTCTGCCTTCTGGGATCATGTTGTGAACAGAACGTGAGTAAACTCTTTTATACTTTTATAAAGACTGTGTTGTGTCTTGCATTTTAAGAGGGAACAAAAGGGGAAATTACCAGAGTAATTATTATAGAGGTTCTAGCGAACCTGTGCACACGTTACCGTTGTGAACTTAAAGGGGAATGTTTATAAACTCTGCTGATATTTTGGGAACTTGTTAGCACAAGTTGGATAAGGATATAATTAGTCAATATATCCTCTCCTGCACCCCAGAACATTCCCACATAGACCACAGCACCACCCACGTCGCTGGCCTATGTGTGGTTTATCCTAAATACACATTTTAAAGCATTTGGGCATATTTTTTGAGCGGAGATGTGTGTTTCAAAAATCAGTGAAATGTGAAAACAGAATAATTACATTCCAATTAACACGGGGTGTGTGGATTCGGTCTGTTCACTTTGGAATTCACAGGAATTGAGTTCCTCAAGCATCCCAGAACAGAATGAGCAAAGTCTGCTCTCACTCTAAGCCAACTCAGCCATGCACAACAACAAATTCCTAAGACTCAGCCACATGCAAAACTTAGTTCCCAGGATGAGGAAGCCACAGCCGATAAGTTGGTTTATGTTTGTAGTAAGGAAATGCCATTTTATAAGCCTTCCTTGCCTGCAACCCAATGTTCTTCCCTCCTCCTCCTATCTAATTTCACAAACCTGAACAACTCCCAAGGAATGAGCAGGGTTGCACATGGTTCCAACATAGGCCAGTCCTACTGTTGGTCCACTGAAGTCAATTCCTCTGAAAGAAAGGAGGGATAGAGAACAGACTGTGAGATCTCATTCAGAAAGACTCCATTGTTCTATCATTCATAGAATCTATTGCTGCATTTGGCAAATAAGCCTTTGGCAATTCTTCCCAATGGAGTTGTAGACTATTAATATTTCAGCTGCAACCTGTCTCAGAACTAAGGCACATGCAAGAAAAGTAGGGATCAATGAGTTTTGCCAGAACCCCGTTTTTCATCCTGCACCCTGAAAATGGTAGAGGTTATTTGAACCCTCCCACAAATTTAGCCAAAAGTTCAAATGTTGCAGAAAATATGGTGTACCATCCCCCCTCACCCCCCCCACTCCAGTACCATGTCAATGACACCCAGAAGAAAAGGGCTGGTGAAAAACTGAGGAGGCCATTTGGGGGCAACGGTACCCCCACCACTCTTGACAGCATTCGGGGAAGTATTTTTGAAACTTTGGAAACATATGGCTCACTAAAGGTACTCCACCTCTGCCCACAACCTTTTGCCACAGGGATACATACGTGAGAAGCTGAGCGTTATCGTTCCTTTTCCGCTTCAACAGAACGGCCTGCCTCCATGCTGAGAACCGGTCTAAAGTGCTGCCCGCAGATTCATTCACATCAATCTTATCCCCATCAGACCAAACTTCTAGGCCAATCAATGCTACATGAACGTTTATAGCTTTGTAAACCTATGAGGAGAACAAACTGTAATCAGGGAACACACAAAAATACCTTAAGAAATACCTTAGGGAAAAGGTGATGATGGATTTTATACTCCTCACCCCAACTTGGAGCAGATTAAATTGTATATATACTTTGAAACCAGGGTGTTAGTAAGGTAAAGGGACCCCTGACCATGAGGTCCAGTCGTGGCCGACTCTGGGGTTGCGGCGCTCATCTCGCTTTACTGGCCGAGGGAGCCGGTGTACAGCTTCTAGGTCATGTGGCCAACATGACTAAGCCGCTTCTGGCAAACCAGAGAAGCACGGAAACGCCGTTTACCTTCCCGCTGGACCTATTTATCTACTTGCACTTTGATGTGCTTTCAAATTGCTAGGTTGGCAGGAGCTGGGACTGAGCAACGGGAGCTCACCCCGTCATGGGGATTCAAACTGCCAACCTTCTGATTGGCAAGTCCTAGGTTTAACCCACAGCACCACCCGCGTTTCTAACCAGGGTGTTAGGACAACATTAAAAGAAATACGAAAGTTCCAGGATTGTATCCAATACTAGTCCTACTTAGAGTAGACCCACTTAAGTTGATGAAAATTGCTTAAGTTATGGTCATTCATTCAAGTGTGTCTACTCATTGTAGGATTTAGTTGGAGGCAAGCCCAAGGTTCTTATCTCTTTGTGTATTTTTTTCTTTAAAAGCAGCCATGGTTTTTTGTGGGGAGGATTGGGCTGGGCTGAGAAGGGGAGAGAAAGGGTTAATCAACAAATGCTTCCAGACTCCTGAAACCAAATAAAATTTCCATTGAAAGCCCCAAACAAAAGCACAAAACAACAACAACAAAATCACAAACAAGCAGCATGAAACAACAGTGTGCAAAGATGTAGGTACCACAACCAACTTTCAGTCAAGTTGTGGGTTTTTTAACAAATGCAAAGAATTATTATAGTTCGTAGGCAACAAGGATAATTCACACTTCATGTTGCATGACATTTTCAGATATTGTAACATGCATGTGAAATATAAACATTTTTTTCAAAATATAAGCATGCATATTTCTAAATAACATTACAGTGAAGAACACATGTGGGCAACCCCTACTCCCAAATGTTTTATGGACTTGTGAGGGCATTAAAATTAGGGATCTGCAAATCTGTCAGTTTCAGCTTCTCTCGGTTTCTCATTATCCAATCTTAAATTCATTTAACCGCATTTCCATATCAGTTTCTGAATTCATCAGCATTTTACTGCAAATTCTTCCGAATATACATAAAGTTTGTCTGCAATTTTGCCTAATGTACTCATTTTCCCAATGCAATTTTCCCTAATATAATGCATTATTGTATGTTGTGTTCACTGCTCTTTGCATTTGAATGTACACTTTAATGTACATGTGCATTTCTATACACATTCCTTGGCTGGAGAACAGCACTGCAAAACCTGAAGTATGAATTTTGAAAGATGGCTACATTTTGGTTCACATATTGTAATTGCTAGGAAGGTTTCACTTTAAATGCGAACTGAATTTTATTTCTCCCCATTCCTAAATATACTTCTAGGCCCTGCACTTCTTTCCTAAGAATACAAAAGGTGGCCATCTCTGTAATAAGTGATGTTGCTGTGCTCTAAAACTACCTGGTCAGGAATACAAAAATTGTTCATCTAGTAATGCTGAGTTGCATTCAAATCAAACATCATTTTGTCAGCTCAGAGTGTAAAACAAGATTTCTTCACATGCACCTAAAAGAAGTGTTGAGGTTCATGCGATGAAAAGTCTGTTGAATAAGAGAGAAACTTCCACTAAATAACTGAGTGACTTGTATAGAAATTTGAAATGTTCTTCTAATTTTAAATGCCCAGTTTTTGAACACTAATTGCAAAAATCAGAGAGAAACAAGCTAAGAGGATTCTGACCATTGCTAATTTAATGCAGACTAATAATAATAATAATAATAATTTTTATTTATACCCCGCTTTCCCCGGCCAGAGCCAGGCTCAGGGTGGCTAACACCAATAAAATCACAGTAAAAACATAATAGGGGGGAGGGAAAAAACCTAATTTAAAATACAGGTTAAAATGCAATTTAAAATGCAGCCTCCTTTTAAAAGTAGCCAATAAATCAAGACCATAAGGGGAGGGCAACATAAGGGTCAGACTGAGTCCAAACCAAAGGCCAGGCAGAACAGCTCTGTCTTGCAGGCCCTGCGGAAAGATGTCAAGTCCCGCAGAACCCTAGTCTCTTGTGACAGAGCATTCCACCACGTCGGGGCCAGTATTGAAAAGGCCCTGGCCCTAGTTGAGACCAATCTAACCATATTAAAACATATGGTTAAAAACATATGTTTTAAAACATTTAAAAACATATCTACGCCTCACTATTGTTCACTCAGGGTCATTGCCATTATATCTTACCATGTTTATGTAATTGACTATTTCAAATACTCTTGTCCTAATACCAGTCATATTGCGGCTGTACTTCCTGAACTGCAAAAAGAAAAAGATGAAAGTATTAATAGCAGATTGAGCAGAGTGGGGTAATTCCCATCATCCCTGACCATGGGTCCTGTTAGGTAGGGATCATGGGAGTTGTAGTCCAAAACATTTGGAGGGCCGCAGGTTGGGGATGCCTGGGTTACAGGGAAAGAGGAAGGCATTTAACTCATCCTTGCCGTAGCAAAAGAATCTGTGAACCTACATATAGGAAGAAAATGCTTTTTTGACAACTTACAACCTATGACAAGTTCTTCATAGTGGATTCTTACAAGCTCACCTCCTACACCTGGGTCCCCAACATGGCACCTGTGGGCACAAGAGCACTCTCAAACACCCCCCTTGAAGCCCATCAGGGCCCCTCCCAATTTTTTTAGTTCCTTGGGGATGCCTCTTTTGGGGAGGTGTTAGTTACCTTCAGTGCTTTTTTTGTAAAAAAAATGTTTAGGGGTGCTCTCATTTTCCTACTTGTATTGAAATACTGCCCCTCAATGAGGCCAAACTTAGATTCACAAAATGTTTAGGGGTGTGCGAATCCCTGTATCCCCCAAGAAAAAAAGCACTAGTTACCTTTTCTTGATGTCTATGTATTAGGATTCTTAACTTATGAGATTCCAATGTCATGGGTTCAAGCCCCATGTCAGGCAAAAGATCCCTGCATTGCAGAGGGTTGGACTAGATTTGCCCACGTGGTCCCTTCCAACACTACAATTCTATGATTCTATGTAATCTGGGGCGGGAGTTCACTGTTGTTTTTTCTGTGAAATTGGCATTCTGTGGTACCTTATACAAAGGACAAAAATTCCTTTATCTGTCAGTCTGTAGGTCAGGTTTTTCTTGTGTATAGCTAATGACCATTGCAATGTCACTTACATGCACATTAAAAAACAAACAAACCCCAATACATTTCAAGAATTTGTTGAACAAAAACATGAAATGCAAGGTATTACTTTAAACTTTAAAGTTCCCCAAATTATGTAAATTTAAAAATCCCCTTGGGTTAAAAAAATAAAAATTTTCCATATTGCCTATCATCTATCTATCTATCTATCTATCTATCTATCTATCTATCTATCTAATATCTCACCCTTCCTCCCAACTACTAATGATCTCCAGCTCAGGGAAATTAAAGATGTTCGAAACTGGTTTAAATTAAATTGAATGCATAGTGTGGCTGCGCCTACTGTCCCCAGTAACATGCAGATAAATATTTGCAGGACAAAGATCAGGTTTGCATCTTCCTTATTAAGTTCTGGATTTCACTGAAAACTCATTGAATGATAATGAAACTGATGAGGTTAGCTGCTTCTCAGTAATTGCGGTCAGCTGCTTCTCACTAAATATGGGAAATTGTGCAGTGACTTTACAGTAGACTGGAAACACAGTAAACTTTGTTCATTCAAATTACTTTTTTACATTCTTGCAAGAAGCATCACCTCCAAGGCTGTAGCTACATATGGTAATGCATAGTGTGGCTGCGCCTACTGTCCCCAGTAACATGCAGATAAATATTTGCAGGACAAAGATCAGGTTTGCATCTTCCTTATTAGGTTCTGGATTTCACTGAAAACTCATTGAATGATAATGAAACTGATGAGGTTAGCTGCTTCTCAGTAATTGCGGTCAGCTGCTTCTCATTAAATATGGGAAATTGTGCAGTGACTTTACAGTAGACTGGAAACACAGTAAACTTTGTTCATTCAAATGACTTTTTTACATTCTTGCAGGAAGCATCACCTCCAAGGCTGTAGCTACATATGGTAGTGAAATGGTGTCACCGTGGTTAGAAGGAAGTAACAACAAATGGCATCATTAAATGACATCAGCACAATATCAATTTCCTCTAATTTTTCACAAGACCAGCTGTTCCCTTTTGTAAAAGCGTTAGCAGAACACCAAATCTGTAATTGGAGAGACCTTCCACTACCTCCTTTGATATTATTATTTCAGAAGTTAACACTGTTTGTGTACACATAAGGGGGTTGAGCACAACCTCAAGTAGGAGCAAGCAGGAGCAAAGAATAGCAAAATAGGGTTTATCTTATGGAGTTTGCTACCACTGAGGAAAAAGATGGAAAACTGGTTCAATCAATGACTATTATGCATTATAGCTAAATGTATTCTCCATGTTGAGAAGAAATATACATCTGAATATAAGAAGCTGTGGGCAAATAACAATAGAAGGCCATCACCTTCATGCCCTCCTTGTGAGCTTCTCAGAGATATTCGACTGGAAACTGGAAACAGCAAATGCAAGACTAGAGGGAACCTTGCGCTTTGGTCTGGTCTAACAGGGCAGTTCACATACTGCAGTGCTCCCCCTGTAAAGTAAGGTTACCAGGTGTCCCCGTTTCCCGGGAACAGTCCCCGGATTTACAAATCACTCCCCTGACAAAATCCATCTATTTAGAAGGAAGTTGAAAAGTGTCCCCGGATTCATTGAAAAAAATCCGGTAAGCTTACTGTAAAGCGAATGCTTCAAAAGAACTAAGGAGAAAAGCATTCCTTGGGATACTTACCACTGTGTAGTCTACAGCTATGTAAAGTTCAACATATTTCCTGGCCTTCAGGTATGCCTGCTTCTAAATGGAACAAGAAAGTTGAGATTGGTCAGAGTTTCCACACAAAGTTCACGGCAGGGTTGTTTAAAAGGGTTTTCCCCAGAGTGGCTGGGGAAACCCAGCCAGATGGGCAGGGTATAAATAATAAATTATTATTATTATAAAAGGAAAATGTTGAAGTGCCCAGTGGAATATGATTATAATTCACTTTCAGTGCATGCATCACTACAACACACCAGCCTGTTTTTGTGTATGTGTGCATACATGGTTTCTTGCTCAGAAAATCCTCAGAACTGAGAATTTGACATCAAGAGTGAAGAGAGTCTTGGGAGGGTTGTGAATACTAACTTTCTAAGTACCACTTTGAGGTCAATATGTGGCTGATTCCCATTACAGTGGTACCTTGCAAGACGAATGCCTCGCAAGACAAAAAACTCACTAGACGAAAGGGTTTTTTGTTTTTTGAGCTGCTTCGCAAGACGATTTTCCCTATGGGCTTGCTTTGCAAGACGGAAACGTCTTGCAAGTTTGTTTCCTTTTTCTTAACACCGGTAATACAGTTGCGACTTGACTTCGAGGAGCAACTCATAGAACGCGGTGTGGTAGCCTTTTTAGAGGTTTTTAAAGACTTTGGTGATTTTTGAAGCTTTTCCAAAACTTTCCCGACACCGTGCTTCGCAAGACGAAAAAAATTGCAAGATGACAAAACTCGCGGAACGAATTAATTTCGTCTTGCGAGGCACCACTGTACAGTTATACATAAATCTAAATGGTAGAGTTCTCTTTTTTAAAATATTTCACTTATAAAGTCCCTGTGAAGAACATCATATTGGCTGTTTCTGGAATCACCATCACAACTTCGCATGCCTTGTTGGGAAAGGGGTCTCCAAGTTCTAAAATCATTTTTGCGTCATCTTAGAAACATTGGTGACTACTTAGTAAAGAGTAGCAATCGTGTTTATGGGAAGTGTATTTGGGAGGAAGAAAAATGTGTATGATTGATGAAGGTCTGGGATTGTAGGGGAGCTTGGACCATTTAATTTACTCTTTTACATGGTCATCACTCACTTTTTAGATCACCTAACATAATTTAACTTTTGCATGACTTGGATTTTTTAACTGCCTAAATGTTATTTCTGATCTCCCTTCAGCTGCCTATTTTGGGTCTGGCTGCCCATTATATAGCCCTGGTTCACAGGAACATTGGATCGTCTGATAAACTAAGGATTGCTGTTTTATAGCTTGGTTAAAGCACATAAACCTTGGGTAATGCTGGCTGTGTGTGATAAGACATTTATAAGGTTAGAGAGCTTGTTAAAATCTTTGAATGTACAGAATGTAAAGATTCCATTTTTCAGGACTTGCATTATGAAATGAATTACTGGACAGAAACAGTGGCTACCCATATATATATATATATTGTTTTTACAAAAGCTCAGATAATTTCTGAAATAATGTAAGGTGATCTGAGGAGAACATACCCATCTCAACACAGTAGCAGAAAATATGTAAAACTATACAAATGAAACTTACATCTCAATATCATTCCACATCCAAGTAGTATGGCTTAGCTCAATTTTGGTCTGAGCTCTACATTGCACATTATCTTGCATTTGTGGTCAGGCTAATATTTGTAGAAGCAGAACTATGAATTTAATTTGCACAAGTCACTATGCAAGTATTAATTGTCTCTTAGCCCTTTCTCCCAATTTCCAGCCTCAACAGCACTGAACATGTCAGTGTTTGCCATCATATGTCAATGACACTTTTTCTGCCAGCTCTGCAAAATTGTCATCTGGTTCGCATGTGACAAACTTTCAAATAAAAACTAGGTTTCTTTTCTTTCAAACACCAATGGAATTTAATTGCCATCATCAAGCCAGACTTCCAGAAATAAATCAAGAGAGAATTTATTTATTTATTTATTTATTTATTTATTGCATTATTTATTCTTAACCAAGCTTTTCTCCCACACTCCTCTCTTGGGCAAAAACACCTGACTATTTCTAAGCCTAGCAGCTGATTTAAGATTTTGTAAGAGCGGATGGGATAGTAATCTGGTTTTTTAACATGAATCAATTATTAATGTACTAAATTTAAATACATTTGCAGTTATTCACTCATTTGAAAACAAACAGTGCAATTTAAAATGTTGGGAATGAATGCAACCCACTGTCCATCCACTATGCCCCACTTACTTCTGCGCTTGTGCTCATCCTGGAGGTCTTTCTGGTGGGGTTTTCTGATTGCCAAGTAGTGTTGGTTACCCCACAGACCTTGGGGGTCTCATCCTTTTCTAGGCTATCATATTTGAAGACTGCATGTGCTTCACTGTCTGAGAGCTTCAGAGGTTCGATAAGATACCTCTCACCACCACTCTTGAAATACCCTCTGGAAAACATGAGAAGACCGCTTCAAAATAAGTTGATGAAGATCAACTACTAAGCCGTTTCCTCTACTCTAAATTCCCCTTGAAACCACATTGGATCTTATTTTCCTGTATTTCCTCACATCTCTCCTGCTCTAGCTTTCTGCACCCAACGTTATACCTACCAAATCAACAGTTTTATGCAGGAATGCATAAACTGTTACTTATTTCCAAGACCAGAATTGAAATAAGGATCACAATTCCTTCACTCAGATTGCCTGATTAAGGTTGCATATATGCCATACATGTGCCATGAGCTTTAAATGTATGGTGTACATGCACCCCGTTTCTCCTGCAACATCCAAGTCAGGCTGGTGTCGCATCAGGCCTTATGGGGGTGAGGTCACAATTCAGAGTTGAAGTACATGCCTCTCCTAACCAACCTAGCATCCCTGCAAGTTACGAATATTGCTTTGATAGCCATGCTACAGGAAGAGTCCTATTGTGTTCAAATCCCAAGAGGCAACTGGTTGATCACTGTTGCATGGACAGAATGCTGGACTAGATCAACCTTCAGTCTGATCCAACAGGGCTCCTCTTATGTTCTTAAGGTGTCCACATTCCTAATATTTATATCATACCAGTCCACAGCTTTGAGAAGTGGCTGTTGTGCAACCTTCCCTTGCATAAAAATGGACCTGGGAACCAAGAACAAACAGCAGTCCTGGGTAACTCATGGGGCTAAATCCCCACCTGAGAGCATGAGGTTCCTGGTTCAAACCATGGATAATATCACAACTCAGAGATAGAAGATCTGGAAAATACACATAGACTCATCTAAGAGTGGCAGGGCACAGAGAAGGGCCCAGGTTCAATCACTGGCTTGTCCAGTTAAGGAAAGATCAGGTAACAGGTGAGAGGAAATAATTCTGCTGTTGCCGGTCAGCATAGAGAATATTGGGCTTCTACCAGCCTGGAAGAAGGCAGGTTCCTATGCTCTTCTATATCTACATTTAATTGCCATTGTGGTTGGGAAGGACCATAGCAAGCAGAAGGTCTCGGGTTCAATCCTTTGCATTTCCAGTTTTGAAAGAATTGGGGAAAACCTCTCCAACTGCAGCTGCCAGTTGGAGCAGACAATATTGGACTAGATGGACAAATCATCTGACCTGGTAGAAAGTAGCTACCATGTTCCACCCAACAAGGCATTCCTGAAGAAATCATCCCCCCCTCTGATTCCACCCCAAAGAGTTATCAGAGTATAAACAAAAACAATGTCAAGAAATGGCAATGACCCATCTTACCTCAACCCACGACATGCACTGATGCTTGCTGTAGAGTCAGTATCATTTTGGACGTAACCTTCGTAATAGCAGTGGTCCTGTATGGAGAGACAGAGAAGCACACTGATAGACTCAAAGAACTGTAGAGTTGGAAGGGACCCCAAGGGTCATCTAGCCCAACCCCCTTCAATACAGGAATCTGAGCTAAAGTATCCCTGACAGATGGCCATCCAACCTCTGCTTAAAAACCTCCAAGGAAGGAGGGTCCACAACCTCCCGAGGGAGACTATTCCACTGTTGAACAGCTCTCACTCTCAGAAAGTTTTTTCATCATCATCATCATAATAATAATAATAATAATAATAATAATAATAATTTATTATTTGTACCCCGCCCATCTGACTGGGTTTCCCCAGCCACTCTGGGCGGCATCCAACAAAGACCAAAAATACACTAAAATGTCACACATTAAAAACTTCCCTAAATAGGGCTGCCTTCAGATGTCTTCTGAATGTCAGGTAGTTGTTTATCGCTTTGACATCTGATGGGAGGGTGTTCCACAGGGCGGGCGCCACAACCAAGAAGACCCTTTGCCTGGTTCCCTGTATGTTTGCTTTTCGCAATGAGGGAACCACCAGAAGGCCCTCGGCGCTGGACCTCAGTGTCCGGGCAGAATGATGGGGGTGGAGACGCTCCTTCAGGTATACTGGGCCGAGGCCGTTTAGGGCTTTCAAGGTCAACACCAACACTTTGAATTGTGCTCGGAAACGTACTGGGAGCGTACATGTTTAGTCAGAATCTCCTTTCTTGTAACTTGAAGCCATGGGTTTGAGTTCTACCCTCCAGAGCAGGAGAAATGCATAGAAAGATTGAAAAGCGAAATGAAATTAGATACGAGAGCTGCTCTGAATATAGGCAAAGCCTGCAGTTGGTACACAGGCGTCTAAAAACAGGAAGCTTAACCACCCAGGGTCCAAGGGAATTACTGGCTGGCTGCTAACCACAAAGCAGCTTTAAAACTGGCAGATCCAGCTGGTTCAGATTTCCCACCACTTATCTGCATGCCCTGTTGGCATAGGGCTGCCATTTTCTTTGTTTTCCCATTCAAGCTCAACTGCAATAAAACATTGCTATGAAGCTAGTGACAAACTCGAAAGCTACATCTAAAGAAGCCTCCTTATACACCCAGTAAAATGTGTGAAAGCCTCCCATTAACTTCCACTGACTTTTGCCAAAGCAATCTAAAAAGTCATGTCATATATGGCATAGTATGATGGGAAGTTACATTATATCATATGATGACATAATATGACATGACATGATAGCCATGAATATCTGCAATTTTGCACTCCTGCTGTGAAAAGCACACATACAGTATGCTGTTGTGGACAAGTATCTGGGAGGTGGCAGGAAGGAGAGGAAGGACATGAGTAGGAACAGCATTGTACAACTGAGCCAGGATTGTATAGTGTAGGGATGGAGGACCTTTTTCAAACCAAGGGCTGCATTACTCCAGTGGAAAGCTGTCAGGGGCCGCCTTCCAGTAGTGGATGGGACCAGATGCAAAAGTGGAAAGGGCTAGACTGCCTCATAATCACACACCCTTAACACAAACACACACAAAGCTATTTCAAGAAGAAGAAGAAGAAGTTGTTTTGTAGCCCGCCCAGCTTCCAACAGATTAAGAAAACATCAAACATTAAAAGCTTCTGGATACAGGGCTGCTTTCAGATGTCTATAGAAAGTCATAAAATTGTTTATTTATTTGACATCTGATGGGATGACATTCCATAAGGCGGGTGCAGCTACAGAATAGGCCCTCTGTGTGGTTCCCTGTAACTTCACTTCTCTCAGTGAGGGAACTTCCAGAAGAGATGAACCTCAGTGTCTGGACTGAACCATGGTGGTGGAGATACTTCTTCACATATACAGAGCTGAAGCAATTTAGGACTTTAAAGGTCAACACCAATACTTAGAATATCAGCAAAGATATATATTCATTAAAAAAAATTATTATTATTTACAACTCTTCTCACTTTCTATTTTCTCTATGGAGAAAATGTGGTGTGTGTTTTTTTGTTTTTTTACAAAGTTGTAAAAGAAAGTTCTCCAACACTCTTATTCTCTCCTGACTGTGTCAAAAGCAAAAAGAACTCAGTGATCCCAGCATAAGAATGCAAATACCGGTAAATGCAATGAATATCAGAGCTGCACACCCTGCCTAACAACTATCTAAATGCCTCAAACGTCAGAAAACATGCATGTCATTTTTGGGATGCAATTGCAATTGCAAAATGCATGGGTTACTTTTTCCAGATTTTTGCAAGGTACTCAGGTCTGAGGAGAAATTTCCCTTTGATCTTCTTGCAGAGGAAATAAGGGCAACATCAGAGTTCTTTCCCCTCCCTGCTGAAAGCTGATGTTTGGAGGTGACCCAAAAGGTCACTAGGCCCAACGAAGAGGCCCCCTCTCCCTGCTGGCCACTTGCCTAAACTCCAAAGTTAGGAGCACCTGAAGAAGGGTCTCTCAAACTAGTGGGTAAATAGATTCATGTGGAAGAATGTAATCCTCTAAAGGCATTGTGACTGAATTGTGAAGCACCAATTTCCCCTAAAAAGTCTCCGTAAAGTGCAATGAAAGTATGCAAAAAGGCTGGAACAGCCACAGAATTTAAGGGCAGTTTTTACACATTGCTAGTGTCAGCAGCAACAAATGCTGGCCCAGTCAAAGACCTCACATTATCCCACAATAGCTGCCATTCAGTGAACAGCAGTCTTTTGCTACCTACAGCATATTTGGCTCAACAGCAGCTTGACTGCGCATCATGTGAGGATGTCAAAGAAGAAGTTTGCTGACCACAGTTAAGACAATAGTTAAAAATAGAGAACTTGTCATGTGTAATTCTTACTTAATGAACAGAAAGACAGAACGTGTACAACATTGCCACAGGGAATTTCCCACATTCCTGTAATCCCTAATTCATAGACAATGCTAGTAAGAGTTCTTTGCTCACTATTGTTCATCCTGTCTAATATTTAGGCAATATTTTTAAAATGCTTGCTGTTCTGCTTTATACATTTGCTGGAAGCTGTCATAAAAACTTTGCCAGCAAATCAGGCATACCCTATGGCATTAGTAAGATAGACTTCATCATTCATTCCAGAGATGCCAGGAATTGAACCAAGGATTTTTAGCATGCTAAACGTGTCATCTGTCCCTAAGCTATACTCCCTCCCCACGACCTACCATCAGAAACAATGGCAAGACAATCCGTGAGAATCTGTGGTGGAGGAACCACTGTATCCAAGCCTGCCACAGCAAAAGTTGGCATCTGCATGGTTTTTCCAGTGTTTACTTGTTCTGCTCTGTTCCAGTTCCCTCCCATTGATTCCTATTAAAGGGGAAAGCACAAGGCCACAATTGTGTTGTTCCACCTTCAATGGGACTTCATTGAGACGCAGGTGGCACTGTGGGTTAAACCACAGAGCCTAGGACTTGCCGATCAGAAGGTTGGCAGTTCGAATCCCCGGGACGGGGTGAGCTCCCGTTGCTAGGTCCCTGCTTCTGCCAACCTAGCAGTTCAAAAGCATGTCAAAGTGCAAGTAGATAAATAGGTACTGCTCTGGCAGGAAGGTAAACAGTGTTTCCATGCATCAGGTAAAATGGGAAGTGCCACCCCACCCCCACGAAAGCATCCCTTACTTGGTTGCAAAGCAGCAACACTGGCAGGTTCTAGCCCCAACGCCAGCACTAGTTCTATGCCAGTGGCAAAGGTGGCAACCTAACGCAATCAAACCTTGGTTCCCAAATGGCTCCGTTCTCAAATGTTTCGGCTCCCGAAACCTGGAAGTAAGTGTTCTGGTTTTCGAACGTTCCTCAGAACTCGAATGTCCAACGTGGCTTCCGCTTGAGTGCAAGAAGCTCTTGCAACCAATCGGAAGCTGCGCCTCGGTTGCCAAAAGTTTCGGAAGTTGAATGGTCTTCCGGAATGGATTACATTTGACAACCAAGGTTTGACTGTAGTTCAAAAGCATGGCAGTGCAAGTAGATAAATAGGTACCACTATGGCAGGAAGGTAAATGGCATTTCTGTGCGCTCTGGGTTCCGTCACAGTGTTCCGTTGCTCCAGAAGTGGTTGAGTCATGCTGGCCACATGAAATAGAAAGCTGTCTGTGGCCTGAAAGCAAGATGAGCGCCACACTGCTTAGGGACCTTTGACTGGACTTAACCATCCAGGGGTCCTTTACCTTTACCTTAGAGGCGGCAGTATATGCACAGCGCCCATAGGGGCACCACCAAAGGGGCTTCCGCCACCCAAGGCAGCAGCTTTACCCTGCCTCATGGGTGTGCCGGCCCACATGGATGACCTTGGCCTCATCCAGCACAGCTCTCCTTATGTTGAGCTGGGATATTTTTTAAGGGGAGGGGTGTTTGGGAGAGTAGTTGCTATTATTATTATTTTTGTAACTTTATTTTAGATGTCTTGCATTTATTTTAGATATTTTGTATTTTTATTTTCAATTATGATTTATGTGGAAATTGTTTCACTTTGTATTTTTTGATTTTTTGATTGTTTATGACTATTTTTGTTATGTTTGCAATTACATATTTTTTTCATGTTGTAAGCTGCCTTGAGACTGGTTTGGACTGTGGAAAAGCAGCAAACAAATAAAATAATGTATGTATGTTCTTAAGTATTAATGCCAGCTCCAGAGTGATGTATTCATTCCTTCTTGTAGGTGTTGCCAGGGAAAGAAATCCTGTGGAGATGCTCCTTCAGGTATACTGAGTTGAGGCCATCTAGGGCTTTAAAAGATCAGCACCAACACTCTGAATTGTGCTCAGAAATGTAATGGGAGCCAGTGTAGGTTTTGTACACATTAGAGGGGTACCTTGGTTTGCGAACTTAATTCGTTCCGGAAGTCCTTTCTGAAAACGAAACTGTTCTTAAACCAAGGCGTGCTTTCCCTAATAAGGCCTCCCGCCGCTGGTACCCTTCCGCCGTTCGGCTTCCATTCTTAGACCGAGGTAAAGTTTGCAAACGGGGACACTACTTCCAGTTTTGCGGAGTTCATAAACCGAACAGTTCGTAAACAGGGCTGTTCTTAAACCGAGGTACTACTGTATCACGGCCTAGGATCCTCGTACCTACGAGACTGCCTCTCCCGGTATGCCCCACAGAGGACCTTAAGGTCCATAAATAGCAACACCCTAAAGGTCCCAGGCCCTAAGGAAGTCAAATTAGCCTCAACCTGAGGCAGGGCCTTTTCAGTACTGGCCCCAATCTGGTGGAACGCTCTGCCTCATGAGACCAGGGCCCTGCAGAATCTGATTTCTTTCCGCAGGGCCTGTAAGACAGAGTTGTTCCGCCTGGCCTTGGGCTTGGAGCCAATTTGATTCCCTCCCCCTCTTTCTTTTTCCTTTCTCCTCCTGTAATGAGGCTGCATTTTAACTGTTTTAATGTTTTAATGTTGTATTTTAATCTTGTTTTTAAGTTGTATTTATTCAACTCGTTTTTATTATTGGTTGTTAGCCGCCCTGAGCCCGGCCTCGGCTGGGGAGGGCAGGGTATAAATAAATTTTTTTATTATTATTATTATTATTATTATTATTATTTGGCTAGAGAGCTGCATTGCAAAATTCCAATAAGTGCAAACTGCAACGGATAGCTGTGTTTTGGCATGCATATTGTTTTGGAAATGGCTGAGGTCTGCAATACCTCAAGGACCACCTCTACCCATATAAGCCAGCCACTGTCCTCTGAGGTCCTTCTGTGTGTACCTCCTTCACAAGAGTTCTGGACGGGGACAACATGAAAATGGGCCTTTCCTGCAGTGGCTCCCCATTTGTGGAATGCTCTCCCCAGGAAGTTTTGTCTGGCACCTTCATTATACATCTTCTCATCACTCAAGTGCCCTGAATTAAGTGGAACATCACAAATTCACAAAAGCCACCCTGGTATCCCGCTTTTGCTGCCTCACCACCACCACCTCCTCCTCCTCCAGAGTGGTTGGGGCAGCCACCACGGCTGTTGTGCCGCCATATTCTCAGAACTGGGTGCAGCGCATTTGGAAGCACACTTCCGGATGCAGGTGCACCTCTTCTGGTGGCTGCAGAAAAGCCAAGCAGGCCACAAGAAGGCCAGGCCCTAGATGTGGCAGCAGTGGCAGCAGAGAAAGAGCCGGCCAAGGTAAGGCTGTGGTGAGAGGAGGCCATTGTGGCACAAAGATTCGGCAGCGGGAAGAATGTGCGGATTGGGTGGGGTGGTTGGAGAAAGAGCATATGGATCAGGAGTTGGGGTGGTGGCAAACAGAGCATACGGCTTGGGCAGGGTGGGGTGGGAGAAAGACAATGCGGATGGGGGGGACAGAAAGAGTGCACAGATGTCCCGCTCCCCCCCGCCAATGGATGGTATGCATCTTTAGGCACCAGGTAAAAACATTCTTTTTCAGCCAGTAGTGGTGGAGCTAGCTGCTCCTGCACCCAGAGCAGCGGGGCATGGCGATCCACCCATGGGGTGGGGCAATACGCCCAAGGGGGGGTCCGATCGCAGCGCAGTGGCATGATCCTCCCAGTGGGGGGGCCAATGGCGGCGTGGCAGTGCGATCAGCCCAGGGAGGATTTTGTCACCCCCCTCTGGGCTGGCACCCAGGGAGAACCGCCCCCACCACACACTCCTTTGTACGCCCCTGTCGACCAGGTCTTTGGCTGATTAATATTCTAAAATGTGTTGGTATTGTTTTGTTTTTATTCTAACTATTTATTTGTCCTTTTATTTTTGTATTTTTATCTTTTGAACCCCCCAAGATCTTTGGATGAAGGGCAGTATATAAATTTAATAAATAAAATTAAATAAAAATAAGTAGATTCTCCTTTAATTGGAAATTAAATTGGATTTCTCCCCCAACCCTAGGTGAGGGAGATCTGCTCTATCCTATGGCTATCCTATCCGCCTTCCCAGGAGGCGCAGGATTATACCCTAAATGCAGTTAAATAAAATCTGGTTTCATTTTGACCATATAATAGTTTATATTAAAAAAACAAACCTTTTTAGTGTATTATTAGAGTTGTTCATTGTAGGAAACATGACAGTGAAAGCAGGCTAAAACCAACCAGTTTCACATGCTGGAAACAGGAACTGCTAGAACATGCAGTTAGTTATTCTCAGGGAACTTGACACAGTGACTGCTTTTGTGCCTATAACTGAGTAACTCATTATCATGGTCCAAGGAAAGCACCTGGAATAACCTGTAAAACATCTGCTGTGAGGGATGCCCTAACCTTTGGAAATGAGTATCTCCATTTTCTTAACGCATGTGACTCAAGCAGCTCCGTGCCTTTTTTCTCTGGGAATTCTAGAAGGTTCAGGTGATACCCATCAACCTCTGAGCAGGACAAATATTTCTTTTATGAGAAAAGGTTTGTTCCAGATAGTTACACAAATTAGTGTAATTTGATAGGGGATAGGGAAATAACCATATGAGTTGGCAAGGGGCTTCATTTATGGGGGAAAGGTGAGCAAGTGTGGGAGGTGATAGAGGTGTAGAAGATTATGTCTGGTGTGCAGGAGACATTCCCGTCCGTCTCTCGTAATACTAGAACCATCCAATGAAACCAAACATTGGAAAGTTAGTCACACAGTCTTGACAGCCTTGTGGCTCAGTATGGATCATTTTAGGTCTAACTCTATATACAGAGCATTTCTAGGCACTCTCTCATGCAGGTCTTAGAAAGATCCAAAGCTACTTCGTTTCAGCAAGGTTGCTCCATTGTGTACCTTCAGATCATTTGTCTGCGGCCATGTGCTTCCTGTGTTTCCTCCTGTTACGTACATATGTTCACGCCATCAATGGCTTAGAACAGCTCTCAGCTAGTTCTACTTGAAGGCAAACATTTGAGGCATTAACTCTGTTGTAGTCAGACCTATACTTAGTGTGCACTAATCTCTAATCCTTTTGTGGTGTGAATTGTAAATCTGTATTTATGTTTGCTCAGCAGTGGCACCTTCTGAAATCAAACATAAGAAAATAAGAAGAGCCCTCCTGAATCAAACTAAGGATCCATCTAGTCCAGAGTCCTCTGGGAAGTTCACAAGCAGGACTTATTAAAGGCAATAGGAACATAGGAAGGCAGGACATGAAGCCCACAAGATACAGTGGTACCTTGGGTTACAGCCGCTTCAGGTTACAGACTCCGCTAACCCAGAAATACAGTCATTTCTCAGGTTACAGCCGCTTCAGGTTACTGACTCCACTAACCCAGAAATAGTACCTCAGGTTAAGAACTTTGCTTCAGGATGAGAACAGAAATCGGGCTCTGGTGGCGCGGTGGCAGCAGGAGGCCCCATTAGCTAAAGTGGTACCTCAGGTTAAGAACAGTTTCAGGTTAAGAACCGACCTCCGGAACAAATTAAGTTCTTAACCCGAGGTACCACTGTACACATTTTCAGAAATGGGATCTTTTCCCCCAGAGAAAAACAGTAGTAAAAATTACACTTGAAGGAGATCTCAGCCAGAAGAAACCTATACTGACCTAGTTTGCACATACCATTAAGCCATGGTTTGTTTAACAAACTACGTGTTGACTATGAGTTGTCCCACAGAGGCTGGATCTAGACACGTCAAAGAAGCGATTGAGTTAAACACGTTGTAAAGTCATACAGGGAAATCTGGTAGAGAAAGACAGGACCCCACAGTGCCATCTGGTGTTGCAGTGTTATATTGCATATACAACGCATATAAAACACTTTTTCTTCACCAAACTAGCTGAGTCCAGATTTTAAAAAAATTACTTTTGCTTTGCAGCTTGGTGACCATCCAAACCATGATTAAAGAAAGGTGCTGATTTCACATGTGACACAGTTAAATCAAATGCTGGTATGCCACTAACATTGACTCAGAGTAGGTGCATTTACATCAATGTACCAAAGTTTGAAATGAGTATTAATTTCAATAGGTCTGCTCTGAGTAAAAGTTAATTGACTAGAACCCAAGGTTTGTAAGTCAACAACAAACACTTCAGGTTTCTTGGCAGTAAACAAACCATAGTTAAGCCAGCCAGCAGAAGTCTCACATAACACTAAGTCATGGCCTATTAAACCATACTTTAACAAACCATGGCTTAGCATTATGTGTGAGCCAAAGGGTACTTACGAGGGAGAAGGGAAGGATTGGAAAGACAATGAGAGGCAGTGCAAATTCAAGGTCTTTGGGTTCAGCTTCTGGTGTGCAAATGCCTTCTTTGTTGCATTGAAAGACCTTTGTAGTAAATTGAATGATGCTGCAACCCTCTACATACTTACCTGGAAGTAAGCTCCATTAAAGTCAGTGGTGCTTATTCCTGAATAGACATGCCTAGGATTGTACTGCTATTGACTCAGCAATTTCATGCAGATGCACATCAAGGCATTTTTATTGAGCTTCTGCAATGTGGAGTTTAAAAGACAAACACAAGCTGGCATGTACCCACAGCTCACATCAAAGAAGATTAAAAATGTTTTCTCATGGAAATTAAAATTAAGCAGTACCAAATACAGTGCTGATTATGAGTAAGATATTGTGTGCCAATACCTGCCCTCAAACAGAGCTGGGTCAAAACTGTTCTAAATCTAATGTTGATAACAAAGAGAAACATCACAGACAGCAAGCAAATGATAAAAGATGTTGGTTACACTGACTTTCAAACAAATATGCTGTTACAGCTCATAACTCCATAGCTATTTGGAAGAACAGAAGATCAGTCCACTGAGAGCACAGCTGACTGCAAACCGTCTCTGAGAGAAACTAACAAGTTCTGGGGAAGGGCAGGCAATCAAAGCGGAGGGACTGTGGGACATTCTGTTCAGGTTACAAGCCGTTCTTCCCACCAAACTTGCCTTCCTGGAGGTCAACAATATGGCTACACAACAAGATCTGCAGAATGAACCCTCAGACATGCCATTCGCCCACACATTGATACCATTTCAAAGCACAGAATCACAGAGTTCAAAGGGATCTCAGAGCTCATCTAGTTCGAACCACTGCTAATACAGGAAATCCACTGCTACAATAGTCATCTATCTGCCAACTAAAAAAACCAGAGAGTCCATCATTTTCCAAGGCAATCTATTCCACTGTAAAATGCTCATGCCATCAGGAAGTCCTTCCTAATGTCTAGCTTAGTGGTGTCCAAACATTTTTCAAAGAGGGCCAGATTTGATGAAGTGAAGGGCTGTGGGGGCCGACCAAAGGGCCAACCAAAGTTATTGACCTTTTTTAGGATTGAAGTTGTTGGGCTTTTTTTAGGGTTGGAGTTGTTGAGCTTCTTTAAGATTATAAACAGGAAATAAACTGCCACAAGGGCTGGATTAGGCCACCGAAACGGACTTTGGACATGCTTGGTCTAGCTGAAATCCCCTTTCTTGTAATTTTAACCTATTGGTTCAGTCCTACACTGAACAGGTAGCAACAGAACACAGATATGCTGCATCACCTGCGTGAGATGCTTTCAAATGTTCACTGGTGCCCACATGGGAACAATGCGCTCACATCCCACAGCCATCATTAAAGCACTAGCCACAAAACACAAATTACATGCAACATTTTAGGTTGTGAACCGCCCTGAGATCTACAGGTATATCTGTGTTTAGGTTTGATCAGATATGCAATCAATCAATCAATCAAACAAACAAACAAACAAACAAGCAAACAAACAATGGCACACAGAAGTTACATGTGAGGAGAATTCCATCACACATCGGGTGCACCATGATAACATCTTTGGGCTTTCTTATCGTGCCAAGTGATAAAGAAAACTACAGCATACATCAAATGCAGAAATACGACAAAAATGAATGGTCAGCTGCATCCGCTCAGCAGTAGTGTCAAGTGAGGACATAAAAACAGCATCTGTCAAAGGAGCAACCAGCTGAGAGGGGTGGTGCTGTGTATGTGCCCTCCCACTAGCAGGGCTGCTGGGCAGACTGGGAGGGAGTGGGAGAGTGATGAAAATGAGGTGCAAAAATGAGGTGGGCCAGAAATAGGCTGATCCATCCATCCCTGGTCTAGACTCAGTGGATCCGCATGCATTTGCAAGCCACCTTTCTTTGAGAGTCTCTTAAAGCCATGCACCCCAACCCGCCCTTCTCATGACATTTACAACAAGATGCTCTGGCCTTTACCTCAACATCTGGGCTTGTTGTAATTTCTCTGCCATCAGGGGAGTAATGGGTCTCAGTGTAGTCTTTGGAAAGAAGATCCCTGCAAAGAATACAATGGGTTTGTTATTCAAGATGAAAATTAAGTTGGGCCAGAGATAATTGCATAATAAGCCTACAATTATATTTCCCCAATGGCATTGTATGTCTATTTTTAGATTCAGAGTAGGATATCAAAGGGGAGGGAAGGCACTTAAGCTTCTCCACGGTACATATTTTTAAACAAAAGGAAAGGGGATCAACAGTGTTTACAAAGCACACAAATCTTGATTCATTTGATTAAGGGGCTGCCAACTGGGGAGGGGGCGGTCATGGGCAAATTTGCAAACTGAAGGAACAGTTGTTGACACCACACAAACACACCACAACCAAGAACATGCCACAATCTAGGCCCCACCTGCACTGTGCATTTAAAGCAGTATCATGCACCTTTAAACAGCCATGGCTTGCCACAAAGAATACCAGGAAGTATAGCTTGTTAAGGGTGCTGAGAGTTGTTAAGAAACCCTTATTACCCCCACAGAACTACAATTCCCAGAATGGTTTATATTCAATCCCTCTTCCCAGAGAACTCAGTGAGGGGCATAGGGGCCTCCTAACAACTCTCAGCTGTCTTAACAAACTACAGTGGGGGAACCGCGACTGTTTCAAGTGACATGATACTGCTTTAAATGTAGAGTGCAGGTAGGACCAGTTTCACTGGGTCTGCTTACTGTCAAGGAATGCCTCTGAAGGCACATAAGTGCTCACATGCAACACGGTGGAGATGATCCTATCATAGGAAGGGTAAAAGTGTGTGTGTGTGTGTGTGTGTGTGTGTGTGTGTGTCTTCCATCCATCATGGAAGCCAAGGTCGTGTTCATGTTGTTCCCGGGCACTAACCAGTCCCAGACCTGCTTAGCCTCAGCAAAGAGAAAAGTGAATTTCCTTTCACAATGGTACCTCGGTTTTCAAATGTAATCCATTCCAGAAGACCGTTCGACTTCCAAAACGTTTGAAAACCGAGGCACAAAGGGCGGTCTGCAAATTTAATTGAGAAAATTGAGAAACACTCAGCATAAGCCGTTCAACTTCAGAGGTGCGTTTGTAAACGGAAGCTTCTACTTCCGGGTTTTCGGTGTTCGAAAACTGAAACATTCGACTTCCGAGATGCTCAAAACCAAGGAACCACTGTATTTCCACAAAAAGTCTGGACCTATTTGTCTACAATTTGGCAAACTTAATCCACTCTGGAGGTACTCTGGCTCCTAGATTTAATCCATTTTGGCTTCAAGGGGAAAGAGCTGCTATTTTATTCCCCATTACAGTGGTACCTCTGGTTGCGGACGGGATCCATTCCAGAGCTCCGGTCGGATCCTGATGTTTCCGCAACTGGAGGGTTCGCTTCTGTGCATGCGGTGGCAGACTGCTTCTGCGCATGCACACAGCACGGTAAAGCACTTCTAGGCATGCATGCGCAGCAAAACACTTCCGGGGTTGCTGCTTTCGCAACCTGAGGTTTACGTTACCCGAGGGCAATGTAAGCCGAGGTGCTACTGTATAATAAATGGGAGAAGTACAGAGCTTTGTTTTACACAGGATGTGAAATGCAAATCGAGGGAGTACAAAGAGAGACTCAGAAATCAACTGGAATTTTTTTAAATGCACAAATGCAAAGCAAATCTCAGGGCCTGTGCACACTCCTAACATTTATCAGTTATATGTAGTGGAAAAATTGATTGCAGGTGGTTCCTCTTTAGCAGAGCAAATCAGGCTGTTACCACAGGTCATTAGTGCAGGTGGGAAATAATTTCATTTTAATGCATGCCTACTGTCCAGTACTGAAACAAGCTGTTAAAAAGAAAACCCATCCCAGGCCAGGCCAGTAGCCGGGAGGAGGAGAGACAGAGAGACAAACCTGTTGAGCTGGTTAGTTATTATGCAGAAACTGGCCAAGTGGCAATTCTATTGAAGATTATCTTTATTAATATCTTGATTTATAGTTCAAGCTGAGCACTCCTCACCCTTAACAAGACTAAAACGCTATGCTACCAATGGATCAGTTTAAAAGAAAAATATCTGGAATATTTCTAGGCCATTTCCTCTTATGCCTTGCTTGTATAATATATCAACTCGGATGCAGGGTTAACATTTTTAAAAGGCTCTTAGAAAACAATATGCAAATTGCTAGGGTTTCTATAGACAAGGCTGAAGTGTAGGTGGGTTCAAGCATGACCCGAGCCCTGGGTTCAGCTCAAAAGGATTTATTGAAGCAGCAGGAACAAGACTGACAAACAGGGGCACTCAACCCAGTATATAGACACCTTAAGCCGGCCCAGGCAACACGCCGCCTGCGCCGCCTGTGATAGGTCGCCTTATGCTGCGACTAGCGAATCACAACATTGGCCCTATCACAGCAGGGATTGGCTGCCTGCCACTACCAGCAAATACCATTGGAGCACTTTAGAATCCTTCCTGTCTTTTGTTATGCAGCTGGAGCTCCTGAGATGCTGGAGGCATCAAGGTCTAGCCTGCAATGGCATGCATGCAGCATGGGTTTGGCTGACAATGCATGAATGCATGCATGCATAACAAGGCCACATGTGCAGTTTTAAATCCTGGCCACGCTGAGTGAGGTAGAAGGCGTTTGTTTGTTGGAACTCAGTCAAAAGAACATTTTTATTTTTATTAAAAAAAATTATATACCACTGTGACATAAAGATACATCACAGTGGTTTACAATTGAAAAACAAAACAATAAAATCATAAAAAGTAAAAAACAACTTAAAAGCAAGAAGTAATTTTAAAAAAATAAGAGGCTGTCAGCTCAAGCAGACATAATAATAATAATAATAATAATAATAATAATAATTTATTATTTATACCCCGCCCATCTGGCTGGGCTTCCCCAGCCACTCTGGGCGGCTTCCAAAAGAATAGTAAAATACTGTGATACATCAAACATTAAAAGCTTCTTAAAGGCCTATCTAGTCCTTTTAAAACTGTCCAAGGTGGCTGGCATCAGTACATTTTGCAGCTGTGAGTTCGATTGTTAAGCACTGTGTGAATAAGCACTTAGTTCTGAATCTTCCACCATTTGGCTCCATTGGATGATCCTGAGCTCTAGAGAGACTTGCACAGTCTATATATATATATATATATATATATATATATATATATATATAGTGGAATCCCCATGATCCATCTATATTTTAAATGCATAAAGGAAGAGGAAATCTTGGAATCTTAAGGCATAATTAGAAAACAACCACAAAACTTGGGAACACACCACTAGTAAGAGAGTGGTGCGGAAGAAACTCCAGGTGTTTGGAAATATTTATTTTGGGGTGGTTTTGTATCAGAATACTTCTTTGGGGGCATGTTTTGTTTAACTGTTTCCAGACATCACTGCAGGCTGGCCCAGTAGGGCAAATGGGGTGCTGTCCCACCAAGCTCTCACTTGCCAAACTCCTCATTTACAGCCAGTTCATGGGGTGGCCCTGACTGTCACCTTCTTCCTTTGTCACAGGGTTGCCCTTGTAGAAAACAACAGGAAGGAGGATGGGAACAAACCCAGAATTAGTTGATTCTGCCTGTCATTCGCTCTGGCTCCACCTCTTGTTAGCTGCTCTGCCTTCTGCTCTACCAGTCCCAATGGGCAACAGCTACCACTGCCAGGGATGCATGGCCTGGGGCAGTGGGGGTGCTTACCTAACTTCCCAGCAGCTGGGTCACTTACAGGTATGTTTACCAGGAAAGAGAGAGGGAGGGTTGAGATGGGGAGAGGTGTGGTGCAAATGTCAATCCAGTGCTCCTGCTGGAGGGCAGGGCTGTAGCTAAGGGGTGGCGAGGGGCACAGGCGATGGGGGGAGGGTGCAAAATCAGCTTTAAAATATGTCCATAAATATAAATATCGATTATTAAAGGTAAAGGGACCCCTGATCGTTAGGTTCTGTTGTGGACGACTCTGGGGTTGTGGCGCTCATCTCGCTTTATTGGCCAAGGGAGCCCATTTGTCCACAGACATATTCTGGGTCATGTGGCCAGCATAACTAAGCCACTTCTGGCGAATCAGAGCAGCGCACGGAAACGCTGTTTACGTTCCCGCCGGAGTGGTACCTATTCATCTACTTGCACTTTGACGTGCTTTCGAACTGCTAGGTTGGCAGGAAAATATTGATAATAAATGGTTTTTAATAGAGGGTAAATTGAATGGGTGGAGAGGGTGTTGGAGGAGAGGCAGAAAGAAGAGCTAATTTGTCCAGGGCTGGGGGGCGCAATCTGGACTGTGTTCTTTGCAAGAATTTCAGCAACCAGCAAGTGGTGACTTCCATTGGAGACTGGTCAGTGTTTCACAAAAGAAAGCACATTGTTGCATAAAATTTGCATGTGCTTTGTGTCATATGGGAACACATTCACCCCTCCATGTTGCTGCTATATGTTGTGAAAGAAAGAAAGAAAGAAAGAAAGAAAGAAAGAAAGAAAGAAAGAAAGAAAGAAAACAGAGACCCGAAGTGGCACTGGGTCTATGTATCTTATACTGTAGAAGCATTTCCATATCTCTTCCAATGTCTAACTTAACCCTGACTGTGACTGAGGCCTCTCCCAAACATAATAACTGGAGGGAAAGAATATCGCCACAGGAATGCGCTCCTTATAACCTCCATTATTTTCTGCCATGTTGTCACCTTGAATATGTTACGAAAACTGCAGTTCTAACTTAAGGTTACCAGATTTTTTTCAATGAATCCGGGGACACTTTTCAACTTCAATGGATTTTGTATGGGGACTGATTTGTAAATCCGAGGACGCCTGGTAACCTTATTCTAACTTACTTGTTTCTTTCGAGGTGAAGGACCACCTTCTCTCCATTCACTCTCATTTCATAGTCTGCAGCATCTTCATACTTGGCCTGCATTTGAAAAGTGTGGATGAGCATATGTTGATTAGAGGTGGGGGGTTTTGCAGGGGACAGGCAAACAAAGGAAAACTGCTACAGCATCACAACAACTGCTAATAAATACTGCTGAATTGAAGACCTCCTCCCAAGTCACTCATTTGCGCCTTGAAGGCTACAGTAAGGCCTCAGATCCGGGAAGGTACAATTTCACTTACTACTAATTACCACCTCAATTGCTACTTCCCCAACCTATAAACCTGAGGCCCATTGTGCACATTTGTACAGACATCTTTTTTTTAAAAAAAGCTTTTGTCCCTGGATTAGTGCAGTAGCGAACATGGACCAAACCCAGAGATTCAAGCATGTGTCACAATGAGCAAAATATTTGAATAAACATTCACAAACCTTTTATTGATAACATTTGGATATTTAAATTAAGGATCTGTACAGTTTTGTAACATGCAGAAAATAACATATGTTGATAAACCAGAGAGAGGAGCTGAGGGAAGTCTGGGGGGGAGGGGGGAGGGGGGTTATGTTTTGGGGAGGGGGGAGAGAAAAATAGGGAGAGAAAAAATTAAGGATGATATGTTTTTTGATAAAATGTTATGCTGAAATTACTAATATATATATATATATATATATATATATATATATATATTTGAAATATATGTTGTTTGATTTACCAGATTCACAAAAAAGCAGTTTAAAATTGTGTGTCATGTTTGAGCCCAATGGCTACAGAGCTAGCAGCCTGAAGAATTCCTAGCAAAGGCCACCAACAGGGGTGGTGAAATGGGAAGGTGCCCCTGCCCCACCACTGGAGAGCCAACGAGTTGCTGCCCACATGGGCATCCCACTACCAGTGGGGTTTCCAGCAAGATCTTTGGCTTCCAGTGCCTGTCACGACTGCTTCACCCCACCTCATGGCCCTGGCCAGCCAGGCAGAGGCATCAGTGCCTCTGATCTCCACACTCTCTTCCCCCAGCGCAGGGAGCTGTGGTGTGCACTGGAGTGTAACATAAGCAGCATGTTTCCCACACAAGCACACATAGTCACGTCTGGATGGGAATAACTATCTGTTGGAGAGGTGTTTGGAGAAAGTGTCTCCCTCCCTCCCTCCTGTACCTGCAAAGGCCAATTTTACTTCTATTCTCAATGCTGCTGTTTTGCACAAGAGCAGTCCTGCACAAAGCAGCTGTTCTAAAAATAAAAAAATACTGTAAACATGCCTTCAGCAGCAACCAGTAGAAGTGGAAATGGACACTGCATCATTTCCTTTGCGCTGATGGAAACAAAATGGCCAGATTGTGGTCAGGTGCTGAGTAAAAGGATGTAGGGGTGGAGATAGATGGCCCCAAACATGTAGAAAACCACAAAGCCACCCACATGGTGCACTTCAGTGCATCCACACTTGAGTAACATGTGATTTTATGTTGGACTTTGTCCCTTACCACATAATCCATAGATTCGTTAAATAAAAATTAAATGGGGGGAGGGAAGGCGGAATGCAGTCTGCCGCTTGGACAAGGATGCTGTTATGTTGCCTTGCCTCAGTTGCTTCGTTTCCCAGAAAGCAGAAGAAGCAACAAGGGGATCATCTATCTTGTACCTGGACCTCACCAACAGGGAGGAACTGATTGACTAAGTGGAAGTACTGGAAATCTTGGGAGGAAATGATCTTGTCCTTTTGAGTTTCATGACACAGAGGCAAGGGAAAGCTGAGACATGCCCTCTGGACATTAAGAAGACTGATTTCAAAAAGCTACTGGGTGAGATCCTATGGTCACAAAAACTCAAAGAGAAGGGAGTTCAAGATGGATGGGAGTTTCTTAAAGGTTAAATATGGAAGCTACAAATGCAGACAATTCCAATAAGAATGAAAAGTGGGAGGCATCTAAAGAAACTGATGTGACTGCATAAGGAGCTTCATTGGAAGTTTTCAAGCAGAGGTTGGAAGGTACATGTCTGTGGTGCTTTAGTTGAGAATTCTGCATTGCAGGGGGTTGGACTAGATGACCCTCAGGAACCTTTCCAACTGAACAATTCTATGATTCTATGTGAAAGGCACAAAAAACATGTACATGTCTGATGCATCAAATGCACCATGAATTGTTGTGTGTACACAACCAAACAGGCAGTTCTTTTTTACCTTGTGGTTCTGGCTTCCTCCGACATCTCTTTTGTGCAATGCATGGATTTTTTGTGGATACACTACTTCGTAGTCCTTCACTCCAGGAAGTTCCTTCAGGGAGTTCCCTTCATTGAGGAGGAAAGAGAGAAATGTTTGCTTTATTCTGAAATTCCCTTTCCCACACATGATTTAATTGTCATTCATGTTGTGAACTGCCCTGTGATCTTCAGATGAAGGGCTGTATATCAATCAAAAATAATAAAATGATAATAATAACTTAAGTGAACAGTCCAGCATAGACCCTATTTCCTACTGAAATGAAGCCCAGCTACATAAAACGACCTTCTCGCCATACAAATTTCTTTTGCATGGTTTGTTTGTTTCTTGAAATGGCTGATTTAACAGCCTTTGACAGGTGGTGGCTAATAATAACAAATGCACACACCCTTGCTCCCTTGCTGAAGGAAACGGTTTGGCCATTTGAAGGAAGCCAGCAAAAAACCCACAACCCAGCAACATAACAAATGAACATAAGAAGAGCCCTGCAGGATCAGGCCCATTGAGTCCAGCATTCTGTGCTCACAGTGGCCTACCAGCTGAACACAACAACACTATACCCTGTTGTGATTCTTAGCAACTTGTATTCAGGGGCACACTGCCTCCAACAGTGACAAACCTACAGCTAAAATTCTATATATGCTTACCTGAGAGTAAGCTGCTTTGAAGACAATGGGACTTACTTACAAGGAAATATGCATAGGATCCTCCCATAAGTTTTGCAACCTGCTAGCAAGATGTGGCCTGGAGGAGACTACTTGCTGTTTGGGCCTGTCTGTTCATTTCAGCTACTCCTGCACCCAAGGTACATGCAGAAAATGTGTGAGCACACAAACACCCTTCTTTTCTGTCGGGGGCACAGTCCATTTGGGGCTGCATGATGGCGGTGAGCAGCTGAGTGAGAGCCAGTGAAAAGCAAACTGAGAGACTAAAGTGTTCTGGACTAACCCCGCTTCACTTCCCACAATGACTCTCTGTTTCAATTTCAGTTTCATTTATTTGGACTACTGTACAAGGGTCTTAAGCATCAAATGCAGTATAGCGTTATCAAAATAATCACAGCAGAGAAAACACCTACACAAATGGTGCCTTTAAAAATAAGAGTATAGCAAAAATCCATGCACGCTCAGAAACAATTAAAACTACATCACGGGTGTGCATTGTGCATGCACAACGGGCCCCCACAATGTTGGGCACAACTCGGCGCCTCTGATCAATATCAAGTAATTTATAGACCACTTTGTAACATAAAGCCATACAAGCGATGTGAAAGATAAAAACAGAATAACACACAAGTCTTGAAAACAATACAACCAGCTTAGCTCAGTCAGCAGAGCACAAGACTCTTGGATCCTGGGTTCAAGCTCCACATTGGGGGAAGGATTCCTGCATTACAGGGGGTTGGACTAGATTACCCTCATGGTCCCTTACAACCCAACAATTCTAGGATTCTATGATTTCAGCAAACTCTAAAAACATTCAAACCATCTTTACAAACTCTGAAAGCAATAAAACACTTTCTTCACACCTCAGGGAAAGCCTTCTTAAACGTGTGTGTGTGTGTGTGTGTGTGTGTGTGTTTGGGTGGGTGTGTATTCAGTAGGGGCCGGAAAATCACAATGCTAGCTATCTAATTTCAACTGGCAATTGATTCCAGAGAGCTGGAGCTGCAGCAATAAGAGCCCAGTTTTTAATACAAGCTAAGAGCACCTCTGGGACATATGATACTCTCAGCAGTGCCCACCTGACAAGTGCAGCTGCTGGGCAGGGACAGATGGGGTGAAGCGGAGCACTGTGTGCATCATGCACCCCCTGTTGCACTCCCTTAAGTATCCCACTGCACTCAGTATGATGGAGCATACTCCACGTTGCTAGCGTTTGTGTAACATTCCATTGCAACTTCTTTGCTTCAGGCAGCAAAATCTCTTGGGGCTGTTCCTGTACACACAATTGTTTTTCTCCCCACGCCCCACTGGGACAAGTGTTCAACATGGTTGGGGGAGGTAAGGGGGAGGGCTTAATGGAATAGAAATGCCACTCCACAATTTTAGCTAAATTATGTTACTCTATATCATGGTCCCCTTATAAAAACCACAGCTATGTGAGCATCTCAAAGGGTCAGGGAAAACACCCCTTTTTGAACACCGCAAACTAGTGTTAATTGTTGGAGTGGAAGTTCTCCAAATGTAACTGAATCAATGGGACAATAAATGTACTGTATCTACCTTAGATGCACCAAAGAACTTGTGCTTTCCCAGGATTCACCAATACTATTTTGCATCTTGTGTTCCATATACAGATGCCAAGTAGACGGGAAGTTGAATCTTACTTCATCACAGCAGCCAACAGAAACTAGCCGAAGAAGCAGAGATCAGGCTCCTTGACACAAAAGAGGGGAATGCCCAGTCTCAAGGCATGACTGGTGGGAAGTGCTGCTCTTTCCCATCCTCCAGCATCTGCTGCCTGAGGTAACTGCTTCACTCTGCCTAATGATAAGGTCAAGCCCAGTGGAATTTTTGATCCTTCCATGAATAAACAAGCTTGGGAGTTCAATACATTCCATGTAATATTTTCAGCTGAATTGCCCTAAGACAAGTATCCAACATACAATATTGCAAACACTACACATTTTCAAAGAGAAAACTAGAACTATGCTTGCAACACTCCCATTTTCACATCATTGATCATTGCCCAAGCCCACTCTCCTAGCCACTCAAAGCTCTGTTGGTGCATCTGCCATGTTCATTTCCTCTTCAGCAGCTTGTCTTCCACTGTTTTCACAGTTTGTTCTTAGGTGAAAGATATGCTAAGAAAATGCCCTTCAACATGTTCAAATGCAACGATTCACAATACACCACACCAATAGCACCATGCAAAATGGCAGGCTGTGCACTACAGGAAACTCAGAAGAACCTGTGGACAAAGGACTATCTAGTCCAACATCCTCTTTTCATGCTGGCCAACCAGATGCCTATGGGAAGCCTGCAAGCAGGTCCTGAGTGCAATAGCATCCTTCCCATTTGTGTTTTCTGGCAACTGGTATTCAGAGGCAGACTGCCTCCAGCAGTGGAGGAAGAATGCAGCCAACATAACAAATTACCACTCATAGTTTTCCCCTCCATGAATTTGTCTAATTCTTTTTTTAAGTCATCCAAATTAGTGGCTGTCACCACATCTTGCAGGACTGAATTTCATTGCTTAACTATATGCTATGCAAAAAGGTACTTTCTTTTCTCTGTCCTAAATTTTCTAACTTTTTTTTTATTTAGTAAATTTATATACAGTGGTACCTCAGGTTACATACGCTTCAGGTTACATACGCTTCAGGTTACAAACTCTGCTAACCCAGAAATATTACCTCAGGTTAAGAACTTTGCTTCAGGATGAGAACAGAAATCGTGCTCCGGCAGTGCGGCAGCCGCAGGAGGCCCCATTAGCTAAAGTGGTGCTTCAGGTTAAGAACAGTTTCAGGTTAAGAACACACCTCCAGAATGAATTAAGTGCTTAACCCAAGGTACCACTGTACCACCCTTCATCCAAGGACCCAGCTTGTGTGTAAGACATGATGTATCTCTGCACTGAGCTGAGATATTAACTGCCAAAGACTGGAGGAAGGGGCTGAGCTCTGAAGAATGACAATGTGTGTTAATAAATCTGCAAGGAACTTTCTGAATCAGCTTATTAAGACTTTTACGTATTACAGATGGGAATTTATACTATGCAGTTTTTCATCATTGTAATTCCTTTTCATAATCCACCTTTCTTCTGTCACAGAACCCAAGGTAGCATTCATGGGTTTCCCAGGATGTCACCCAACCTTTCTTCTGTCACAGAACCCAAGGCAGCATTCATGGGTTTCCCAGGATGTCACCCAACCTGACACTGACCTGCCTACTTTTCAGCAAGGTTGTGTCCTTCTGCTCCTTCAGGCCATGTTCTCAGACCAGCATTCTCTTCTCCCTCCCCCTTGTTTTATTTACCATTCAGCCAGTAGAAGAGTTTTGTGGAAGCTAGCTCCCTACTTCATGTCTTTCAGTTGATCTTGACAGTATTACGCTATTGTTGTTGCTGTTTGAAAAGGACAATCTACAGCAACGGGAAGCCAGTGCAAGGCAACTTTGATGTGATAACCTTTTTACGCATACACATATCACAACAATCTCAACCTAGGAAGGAAGGACATCATTTCACAAGTGTCACTCCAGGATGAAAGGGCAACATTTCACAAGTGCAAAATAAAACATTGTGTTCCAGTAAACAAAGTGGTTATGGTTAGAACACAAAGCCCCCTTTAATGTTTTATCTTTTGTCAATTTGGAAATCTAGACTATAGAATATTCCTAGCACTGAGACACAGAAGAGTCAAAATGTCTCAAAAAGCAAAGAAGTCTAAATCCCATTAGTACTGAAGATGATGATGATGATCCATATTCAACAAGTATCATCTTTGAAAAGAATTTGAACACTTCAGTGGGTGGGAAAAGTAGCAACAAAAGTTTTGATCAGGGCTTTGTTTTAGATCATGTGACATCTCCTCCCCTATTTTACTAGATTCATCAGCTTGTAATTTATTTTCAAATTCAACAGAAAGTGCTACTTTAGAGTTGGAGAACTGCTTCCAGGTTGCCTACCTGTCAATCACCAGATGGTTTGCTCTTAGGACCAATTAGCCTATGATTGTTGACAGCAAGCTCTGCTAATTGCATTGAAAAGTTCCTGATGGGCATTCCCTGATCACAGAGGGGATTACCTTCAGCAAGCCACACTTGCATAGGAACAACCAGAAGTTCACTTCAAGCTCTTGATTGTTTTCCTGCAGCCATGTCCTTACCTGCCCGACCCCACATATGGTGTCAGTTGTGTGGGGCAGGTGGGGATGGTTTGGTGAAAATGACATTGCAAGCCAAATTAGGTCCTGTAACAGGTCTAATTTGGCCCATGGGCCAGAGTTCCAATATTACATTGAAAGCCTGAACAGCTTGAGATCACTATACATGAAGGACCACTACACATTACTTTGCATGCTCGATCAGCCAATACATTGGACAAAACCCAAAACCTTCTCCATTGTGGCATCCATGTAATGGAATTCTTGCCACTTAACTCACAGCAGCTGCATGGACTTTCACCTTTCATTCTTCCCCTTGCAACATTAAAAATACTTCTGAACATTCTGTGACATTCACAGCATGAATGAAAACCAGCCTCCTCCATCCTGGCATCCTCCAGATGCTCCTGGACTACGTCTCCCATCATTCCTGACCATTGATGATGCTGGTTGTGACTGATGGGAGTTGGTGTCCAAAAACATCTGGAGAATACCTGGTTTGGGAGGGCTAGTATACACACTCATATGCAAACATTTCAAAATTAGCACACTGCTTGGGAAGGAGGGTCTACATAGGGACTAGTCACACGCCACTCCACTTTTAATTACTATTTGTTGCATAGTTGTTGCTGCATTTGCCTATCGCTGTGTGTACGCTTGTGTGCTAGGATAGTGATAGAGAATTTTTCATTTATGTACTTTGGTGTTCATTTATATTCAGAAAATATATATAAAAACCTCTTAATTAGAAACAAAAACCTTCAAGTGGTGTACATAAAACAGTTATAAATAATATGCTGATAAAATCAGAAAATATTAAACCCTAGTATACCTAACTAAAGTACATATCTGAAAAACCTTGCTGAAAAAAAGTTTTGAATAGGATACATGCATGATGTCAATAGGCAGAGTTCCAAGGTGTGCTGGTGCCACACTAAAGGATGAAACCCCAGCAAAGATTATATGGCACTTGTAAAAATGCAAGTTCTGCCTTTCCAGCCATAAAGGCCTTGGAGGTGGTGTGATGGATCCCTATATATAACCACCATGAGTTATCTTTTGGGTTTTGTGTGAGGGTAAACTTAGATCCTTGGAGACTCAGGGAGAAGTCGTCCAAATAAGAAAAGATTTATAAAAGTTGATAAAACAAAGGTGGTGTCAGTTGATAATGGTCTTTCAGGGAACAGTTAACTTATTAATAATTATGCTAAATCTTGTGGATATTACAGGCTTCTAAACAAAGTAGTAAACACACAGTTTCTTTTAAACTTCAGTTGTTTATTTTAAGTTATTACTCTTCAGTTAAATATGTTATAGGTTACTAGAATACATGGTAAATGCGCAACTTATTTCCAGTGATTTCACTTCAGTTCTTTAAACTTGATTGCTCTCTCTTAATCCACCTCCCCATCTGAATCTCAGAAATGGCTCCTTTTATTTTCCCTCCCAAAGCACTGGCTCCACCCCCTCTTGGTAGCCAATCAGAGAGAGGCTCCAGCCCTCTTGTGGAATTCCGAGACACTGCATCACCAGACTCAGCTGTCCATCACAGGTGGTCTAAGGTAAGACATATATCTATTTCATAATATAGATATATTATATTAGAAAATAAGCTACAGATCAGAACAGAGAGGCAAAACCTGATACAACTGAAAACATTCATATTACTAAGGAGGAAAAAACAAACAGCTGAGGTAACAGAAATGCCTTCACGCTGCAACTAAAGGCCACAAAAGAGGAAGCCCTCTGGCTTCCTGACGTCAGGAGATCCACAGTCTCAGTGCGTCTTTGAGGACCTGCCATCCAATGCCTCATTCAGCTGACCATCTGAATGCAAAGAAATGCAGAACAAAGACTTCAGTAATGAATGCAGTGGGTAGGCAGGGCCATGTGGGAGAAGATGGTCCTTTAAATAGTCAGGGCCCAAAACATGAGGGCTTTCTTAATCATGGGGAGCACTCTGAATTGTCCCCAGAAACATACTGGAGTGATATGCCTCCCCCCAATAATCCACAGTCAAATGCCTTGTCCATTGCATCTTGCATCAGCTGAAGAGTCTAAACCCATTTCAAAGGCAGCCCCACAAAGTGGGCACTGCAGTAATCTAACCTGGGTGTGACCAAGATATGCATAACTGTGGACAGATCTGCTTTGTCCAAGAGAGAGCACAGCTGGTGTGCTAGTCAAAGCCACAGAAAGGCACTCCTGAACACTGCTGCTGCTACCTGAGCAAAGTCAAATCAAGAGGCAAGCTCAAATTGTGAATGTGGTATTTCAATGGGAGAGCAATCCCATCCATAAGAACGTAAGAAGAGCCGTATGGATCTGGCCTATGGCCCATCTTGTCTAGCATCCTGTTCTCACAGTGGCCAACCAGATGCCCACAAGAAAGACCCAAGTGTAACAGCGTTCTCCACACCTGTAATTCCCAGAAACTGGTACTCCGAGGCATACTGATTTTGACAGTGGATGTAGAACATAGTCATTGGGTCAAGTAGTCACTGATAGACTTATCCTTCATGAATTTGGCTACTCCTCTTTTAAATTCATTCAAATCTGTGGTCATCACTGCTTCTTGTGGGAGCAAATGCCATAATTTACCTATGAAGAAGGGTGGGGGTTTTTGTCTGTCCCGAATCTTTCAACATTCAGCTTCATTGGATGGCCCTAAATTCTTGTATTATGAGGGACGAGGGGCAGGGACTATTCCCTGCCCACTTCTCCACTTTATGCATCATGTATCTGGTTACTTGCCTTTTCTCTTAACTAAGAAGCTCCACTTTTCCTCATGGTGGAGTTGCTCAATTTTCTTGATTTTTGTTGCTGCTTTCTTAACCTTTTCCAACTCTACAAAATCTTTTTTGAGGCATAGTGTCCAAAACAATATACAGTATTTCTAGTGTGGTCACACCATAGATTTGTATAACAGCATTGTGATATTTTCAGTTTTATTTTCAATTCCTTTCCTAATGGTCCCTAGCATAGCCTTCACCTTTTTCACAGCTGTCCCCACATAAAGAACAATTTATATTCCCTAATCCTGGATCAGCCTTCCCACTGACCAGCAGCAATTCCATCTTATCTGAGTGAAGCCTTGGTGACTAGGCCAGGAAAAGGAAAATCCCTCTGCCTCCAGCTTGGGTTGAAAGTGGGCTCAGCAGAAAGAGGTTGAGTGAGGACTGACTTATGGATGAGTAAGCATTGGTTTATAAAGATGCAAAGCTAAGGAGGAGGTGACTTAGAGAGGAAATTGTGATGAATCACTCTCATGTTATAGAGCATGTTCTTTGCAAACTTTTCCATTCAGTTCAACCTGTCAACAACCTTGTTCAGAGGCCAAGAGCCTGTTGTGTCTAGAATACACCCTGCCACCCACCCACAATCACCAGTGAGGACATGCATAATCCAAGGATTGTAAATCCAAATCCAAAGTTTGCCTGAGACACCAACAAGGTATCTAGGGAGAGATGGGGCACCTGTGGTCCTTCCAGCTCCCATCAACCCCAGCCAGCATGTTTAGGGATGTTGAGAGCTGTACTCCTCCTATATCTGGAGGGCCACAGGTTCCCCATCCCTGATTTAGGAAGTCTGGAGGGCAGCAGTCTGCCTGACAGCGGAGTAAGGGCATGTTCAAATCAAATTTATCTGAAAGCAAACAACTATCTCTTGTGGTGCATCTTGCCTCCGCCACCCCATCCTAAACCTGAAAATGTATCTCTGCATGCTGACTGCCAATACTTTTTTTCCTGTCTAGAAGTGGACTCCAAAAATGGTTCAGCACAAATCAGTGATGGAGCTTATTCAGATGATAATAAGTATACAGTCCGTAGTATGAATGGACCAAATTTTCAATTTTAGTTTTCCTCAGTTTCTGCTATCCCAATCATAAATTCAGTTTGCAACATTCCAACTACATTTCTGCATTGGTTTGCCATTTATTTTATATCTTTAAGAAAGTGACCAAGTGAGCATTTTTGTGTGCATTTATCCTAATATGCACATTTTTGCAAACAATTTTCTCTAATAGAGTGCATTTGATTATGTCATTTCAATTAATATGTGCATTTTTGTGCACACTTTCGCCTAACATACACATTTTTCCATTGGAGAACTGCATTGCAAAACTCAGAGAAGTGCAAATTTTGAAGGACTGTTAGCATTTCTGTTTACATATTTTTGAGAACTGCAAATTAGATATACAGTATTTGCATTAAAATGTGAACCAAATTGAATTTCTCTTCTATCCCTAAGCTGAAATAGACACAAAATTGCAAAGTTGCTACTAAATTGTATGTGGACTATGGCAAAAAATATCTATTTCGACACGGAGGAACGGTCATAGCTCAGTGGCACAGCATCTGCTCTGCATGCAGAAAGTCTCAGGTTCAATCCCTGGTATCTCCAGGTAGGTCAGAAGTCCTGGAATGCATTGCCAGTTGGTGCAGGCTAGATGGAAAAGAATGCTACTCAGTATAAGGTGCAGTATCCTATGTTCCCATGGCATGCACATGAAAAGCCATAGCCTACAATTTAGGCCCTAAACAATTTCAAACTAGTCAAATTTGAGGTGGGCAAAACTGCTGAGAAATGGGTCTTATCAATTCAGGGCAGACTTACCCTGAATATCCCCAGATATTCATTTCTGTGAAAAATAACAACTTGGGAAACTTTTATACAATCAGCACCAAAAATGAAGATACCATATGGAATTCCGTCCCCTGCCAAATTAATCCTTCCTGGCTTTTAGAAGAATGGTAAATACTGTTCACTTTCAGAAAGCTTTAGGGCTATAAATGGTTGTTAGATCAACAATTTATTTGTTAGACAAATGCTTTGGATCTCAGTTTTGGGATTGTATATTTATCATTTTGTTGTTGGATCTTTATTCTACTTTATGTGGTTTCATGATTGCTATGAGGGCTCATGTGGTTTAAACGATAAGGTTAATCATGCATGTCCTTGAGACATATTACTCCTCCTTCTCCTCCTCCTCCCATACCCTCCGACACTTTGAAGCCAAAATCCAGGACGCCATCTTCCCACCCGTCATCTTCCCATCTTTTGGTTGCACTGTGGTTTGCCCCCATTCAAAAGCACTTTTTTGAGTATGACACCCCTAAACACACATTTTGGGGCATCGTGCATTGCGGCCCCCAAAAGCACATTTTGGGAGGGAAATCACAGCATGAAATCACACAAGATTATGGCAACCAAAATGGCCACTGTTGTCTCATGATAAAAAACAGGATGTCTCAGTTGTACCGGGACACTTGTGGGGTATGTCATCGTTAGCAAAAAGGCTCCACCAAATGTTGGGAATCTGTTGGATTAGTTCTGTTCGTTGTTGCTCACCTCTGCAGCCCCACAAGCCTCTGAGAAGGGTGGAGCCTGGTGCAATGGCCACTGATGAAGACAATAATATTCTCCTATTTGGACACTATGAGTTAGGGGCATTCTAGTTAAAATGCTCCATATGTCCCAAACATTATTGCTTTCCTCCACACTCACACCCACATCTCTGCAGGCAGAGCTGAACAAACATATGGGTCACATGTATGCCACCTTCAGTTCAATGGTAGATGAAAAGTGGGATATAAATGTAAGAAAATATGTACCATTCACAGATGTGGATTATCCTCACACATATTCTCTTGCATGCCTAGCTTCCAACCGCTTGCAAATACTAACTATATTTATCTTTGCAAAGTTTGCATGAAACTATTGCGTTCAGAACTTGGTTCTCTGGTTTAATTTTTATTTTATTTTTAAGAATCGGGCTTTTTGGTCACAGTTTGTTGAGGCCAAGACTGTTTAATTCAGAATTGTTTTTTCTTCCAGGACTATTCATATCTGCATAGATAATGTGTGAGCATGCCTGCCAGGTATAAAGTTCATCCATTAAATTACTACTTTCAGAGACTTGCCTGTATGTTTACCACAGCCCAGACATAAGAGTGGCCTTGGGCTATGAAATGTAGTAGTAGTAGTGACTAATTAGCTTTTCACTGGAAAGGGCTATGCATAGAACTTAAACTCCTACTGAATAACAGGAAATGAATTAGGGAGTAAATGAGGCCTCATCGCTACTCAGTGCATCAGAATGCTGGATAACTTTGCCCCAATGCACACCCCTTATTCAGAGTGTATCTCCCACATGCTACAGAAATGGTTGAAAGTGTGCCAGGTGTGCAGCTCTGTGATGGCTCACTTTAAGAAGAGTGTAGCTGAAGGGCAGGCACTTGAAGCCTGCTGGATCAGTTGCATAACTAAGTTTCCCATGGGAAACTTGATCATGCAGTAGATCCCTTTCGATAGTAGTTTTGCCAACCTATGGCTCAGTGCTTCCCAGACCCATAGCATATGGGTGGCAAATCCCCCTTTGCAGTTCCCAAGTGCTCCACAACCAGCTGGGTGCTTGGGAAACACAACCCAAGCAGGACGACCCATTAGTCAATCATGTGACATCATAATGATGTCAGGTGAGTGGCAGGTGGGTTGTCCCACCCACCTACCTGTCAAAGTTGGTTCACAAAGGTATAGACAGATAAACAATCTGGTCTGCCAGGCCAAAACGATGACAAGAAGAAGAAGAAGAAGAAGCAGCAGCAGCAGCAGCAGCAGCAGCAGCAGCAGCAGCAGCAGCTGCTCCCTGGTGTAGACAAATGACAATAAGATCAGGGGAAGGCCATGAAAATGGAAATAAGCCTGTAAGGAAAGGTTGAAGGTACTGGGTATGTTTAGTCTGGAGAAGAAAAAAAGACTGAGGTGGGGGAGATGAGCGCATTCTTTAAATGCAAGAAGGGCTGCTACTTAGAAGTAAGTCTCACTGTGTTCTTCGGTAATATTTCAGAATGAGGGGGGAATATAGTAGTACAGTGGTACCTTGGGTTAAGTACTTAATTCGTTCCGGAGGTCCGTTCTTAACCTGGAACTGTTCTTAACCTGAAGCACCACTTTAGCTAATGGGGCCTCCTGCTGCCGCCACACCGGCGGAGCACGATTTCTGTTCTCATCCTGAAGCAAAGTTCTTAACCCGGGGTAATATTTCTGGGTTAGCGGAGTCTGTAACCTGAAGCGTATGTAACCCGAGGTACCACTGTAGTAGTAGTAGTAGTAAATGGCTCTGCTGGTTAGCCTGTTTTAAAAGTTGCTTACTAGCAGACCCAAAAGTCAGCAGTCTTCATTCAACTGATGAAATGATACTGCATTCAAACAGACGGATCTAGTGATCAAATGAACCACCCGCTGCTTAGAGGGTTTGCCATGTGCTCCATGTAAGTGAAGTATGGACTAGGGACAGGCATTTGGGAATTGTGAATATCACACAGATACTTTGATGGTGGACTCCATCTGGATTTATTCCATCTCAGATGGCATGAGTAAGAGGGTGCGTTATGGATCTTGTTCTCTGTGTGGGCGGGCAGACCTATTTTGGGTATGCCAAACCTGAAGGCAAATTATTCAGCAGCAACCTGGAGAACAGAACATGCCAACAACTAACATAGGACTTGATTAGCAGAATGCAGGGTGTGGGTGACTTCACTCAGAGCTATTTAAGGACCCTGGCAGAACAACAACCCCCATCTTTGAAACAAGCAGTGTGCTGCTGCTTTAGCTGCTGCAGCTTGTACCAAACTACACGGTGCAAGATAGGGGGAACTGCCACCGTTGCATGATTTCCCCGATCTACCCATTTGCAAGCGGTATTGCACAAAATATGGTGTGTGGTCGTTGTGCTTTTCCTCCAGGCCTTCATCACACAACTGACCGTCAGTTGGGGGCATAAAGGTGCACAGTTGTGTTACAGTACACTGGAGTGGAGGACCTTTTTCAGCCTGAGGGCCACACCCCCTTCTAAACAATCTTTATAGGGCCACATACCAGGGGTAGGAGGAGCGAGAGGGAGGTGGAGCAATGAATGCAAATGTTATTTTTGTACTGTAGACACTCTCTTCTAGATACACTCTCTGCCATCCAAAAAGCATTATCAGAGTTCAAGGATATCAGATTCTCCAAGTGTCCCTATTTTCCAGGGACAGTCCCAGATTTACAGAAGCCATCCCGGTTTCTGATTTGATACTGGAATGTCCCACTTTTCCTTAGGATATCCCTATTTTCAATGGAGAAATGTTGGAGGGTATGGAGTTATCCGGCCCCCAAGCCATCTGAAGGCAGTCCTGTATAGGGAAGTTTTTTTAATGTTTAATGTTTTATTGTGTTTTATATATGTTGGAAAGTCAGATGGACAGGGTATAATATAATATAAAATATAATTAATAATATAATATAATATAATATAATAATATAATATAATATAATATAATAATATAATATAATTGAATAGGACACCAGAGAAATGTTGGAGGGTATGAGATATAATCCAGCATGGCCCAAACACTCAACAATAGTGTGAAGCAGGCCCAGTGAGATGTATGACCCGAGGAGAGCCTGGGGAGAGTTCTGAGATTTGGAGGGCTGGTCTTAGGCCAAAGGTTCCCATGGTACATGTTACAAGGAAGAATGGAGAAAGAGGAGGGAGAAGTGGCAGCTAGGGCCATAGTCAGTCTTTCTCACTAGGAGGGCTACCACATTGCCACATGGAATGTTGAAAAACTGAATGGGAAACCAGAGATTTCTTAATAGCAATGTGCCAGCGCCAGGGATCAGCACTGGCAGGCATTTGCCAAGGCCCACAATCCTGCAGAACACCCACTAATAATAATAATAATAATTTTTATTTATACCCCGCCCTCCCCAGCCAAGGCTGGGCTCAGAGCGGCTACCAATTCCTGGAGCTTCCTGACTCTCTGCTCCCCGCACTCCTTGTCATGTATGGCATGTAAACATTGTCCCTAGAGCATGGGAATGGAGCGGGTACCTCAATTTGCCTTGGACAATCATACCAACTGAAGGGAGATATTTATGGGGCCATTTAAGCCTGAGAAGAAGGACTCTGAAGCACAAATGGAGAAGGCTCCAGATCTGGGGTGTGCATACAAGCCTCTTTCCATAATGACCAAAGGAGTTCAGAACTCATGTTCAGCTTCTAAGTATGAACAATGTTTCTTAGCATGCTCAGTGAGGTTGAACAGTCTGTATCTGGGCTGTACTAGTTCAGAATGTGGGTGGGGCTCATAGGACACCATCTTTGTGCTCCATATGGGGGCCATTTCCTTCAGCACAGTAAGAAGCCTGGTCATTTATGCATAGCATCAAGAGAGGAACTGCACCATCAGAAAAGGTCATCTATTTTGGACTTATCCAAAATAAATGAATTTTGAAAGAACTTAGAAATTTTCAATATACCTACTGGTGGCCCTTAGGGCCATATTTTTAAAAAGGAAGATACGGAGCTTCAAGACTAGAACTAGAAAAAAGAGGAACATGACAATTCATTAACAGCTAGTGAAATTTGGGGATATTTTAAGTATGATCACACTTATTCATGTTGTTAAAATAAGGGAAATGGAGAGTGATATCTGTGTGGAGCATGTTTATTATGTAAGTGAAGGATGTGAGTTACAAGGTACAGTCTTAACTAATATGGAAGATACTGGTTGAGCATGAATAACTTTACTACATTAATCTTATTTGCACTACTATCAACATCAGTGAATTTATAATTTATTCTTATTGTTGACAATATGCAATATGTTGTTTTTTAAAAAAATCTCTGCTGTATTTCAATTTACCATTTGGTTTTGTTATTTTGATGTCAACCAGGAATAAGTCATAGGGTTGTATTCCACTAAGTCCTACACAGAGTACACCCATCGAAACTAATGAACCCAAGTTACTCAGTGGGTAGCATTGAATATTACCCAGGAATACTGTCCTGCTGCTAACTGTAAATGGCCAACTGCACAGAATAATAGAAACCTAGAATTATAGAGGGTCACCTTGTCCAACGCCCTGCAATGCAGGCATCTCAACTAAAGCATCCATGACAGATGACCACAATGTTTAAGCCTCAATGGCCATCTGGCATGGATGCTTTAGCTGAGATTCCTGCATTGTTGTGGGTTGGACTAGATGATCCTTGGGGTCCCTTCCAACTCTACAATTCTATGATTCAATGTGACAGCTCTTTGTGATGCATATCAATGTACGATAGTCTTCCCTGAGAAGGAAAGCGGAAGGTGGAAGGGCAGATTGTGGGCAATTTGGAGGTGTGCAGGAGATGGATCAGGGGAAGCCTTGCCAGTTCCTCATCATGCCCCTTCAAATGGAGAGAGGTCATATCCTAACTTGACATATGTATTCGCCCTCCCACAGGAGAGCCATCAGTTTTATTTAGAAAAAAATGAAAAGCAAAAAGCAAATGCAAAACCTCCTTCCACCCTGCTGCAATTAGGAATGAAAGAATCAGTCAATTTTCGTTTCTCTCATTTTCTCATTTTCCTGTTCTCCACATTACCACATCAGTAGGTAAATGCATTTCAGTGTTAATTTCTCCTAATACGCACATTTTTTTCCCTAATACATTTTCCCATACCTAATGCATTTTGGTGTGCTATTTTCTTGAATATGTGCATTGTTAGGCAGGTGTTACCCTGCAATACACATTTTTGTACTCTTTTTTGGCTAGGGAACTGCTCTGCAAAATTCAGAGAAATGCTAATTTCAAAGGATGGCTGTATTTGCACATCATTTTGAAAAGTGTGAACTAAGTAGATTCCCCCTTAAACACAAACCAAATCTAATTTCTCCTTCATCCCAAGCTGCCATGTACCCATTATGACCTTGGGCATCTCAGAGCCTCTGCCATCAGTCCCTCCCTGCAGCACACAGACAGGATTGCTCTTGCAAAAGAAATAATCTACATGACAGCCCATTGAAATTACTGGGATCTCCTCCTGTGCCATAGTGTTCTGAACATTCCTCTAAACTGGAAAATTGTTTGCATAGCAATCCGATGCACATTTATCAAGAAGGCACTCCTGCTGTATTCAGTGGGCCTTGCTCCCAGCTAAGTGTGTACAGTGGTACCTCGGGTTACATATGCTTCAGGTTACATACGCTTCAGGTTACAGACTCCGCTAACCCAGAAATAGTACCTCGGGTTAAGAACTTTGCTTCAGGATGAGAACAGAAATTGTGCTCTGGCAGCACGGCGGCAGGAGCAGGCCCCATTAGCTAAAGTGGTGCTTCAGGTTAAGAACAGTTTCAGGTTAAGTACGGACCTCCAGAACGAATTAAGTACTTAACCCGAGGTACCACTGTATAGGATTACAGCCTTACAGATTTAACATTACAATTGTCATTCCTTAATCTTATTAAATGTTTGTTTTTTTGAGCAAATCACACACACCACCCTTGGCTCTCACCCACTCCCATAGTTTCTCATTAAACGAATTAAAACATTTTGAGCAATGGATCTGGACAGTCTGAATATTAAGAAAGCCCTTTATTGAGATAATGTGTGCAAGCTGCCTCAAACATTCTAAAGTATTATATAAAACACTATGTAGCATTATTCTTACATTTTTGAAGGGAAGAAAAATGGTTTCCTTTATTACTGTGGTCTGTACCAGATCAGACCTGTGGGGTTTCCATTCTTGTAAGCTGCTGCACAAGGTAACTGGAGTCACGGTGGCTTGAATACAGTTCAATCCACTGTTACTCAAAATATAGTTTAGTTATTATCAAGCTGCTCGTCATCACTGATATCATGCAAGTTTGTGCCTATGATTTATATCTCACCCTTGCAGCCCATTTAAAACTGAACACACTTTTCCTGTTAAAATGCTGCTTTCTTCCAACTTCTTCGAACAAACCAACCCTCCCTTTCTAGTTTCTTGGAACTCTTCATTCCCAAATGACTAAAATACTTTCTTTTGTTCCACACTGTGACATTCTCAGGACTTTCCAACTGACATTCTCAAGCCCTGTTTCAAGATGTATAAAGATAAAACAGCAGAAAAGAAAAGCATCCGCTCAGGAACAGAAACAAAGTCTCTAGGAAACTTTCCTTGGTGCGGCTGTAGAAACTCATACTGGGTATGTGCTTGCTTGTTAATCATTAAAAACACTGACAAAGCTATAGAAGCTAATCAGGGACTACACGAGTTTTCAAAGTTCTGATGGAGTTTTGCTTTTCGGTTTTGTTTGGCTTCTATAAAAAAAAAACCAAAAACCACCTTACCTTGATGGTGAAGAAGTACCATGCAAGTCGTAACAAAGAGGCCTTTGATCATTTTGGGCAGGGGGTTGATGAGGCGACGGAGTAGCCCTTTGATTTCAGAAGCCGAAGTGCCAACTTGAGCTGTCTCCAGTCTGCCTTTGACTGTGCTAAGCAAAGAATGACTGCTTCGGCTTTATTCTTGCTGCTACATGAGGAAGTGTTTACCAAAGGTGTTGCTCAACTTCCAAGTTGCAACAGTGCCACTGCAGGGTAGAACTTCAAGCTGACTTACCTGGGGTCAGTCGACAGGTGACGGATAGTTTCTTGCAAGGCATTTTCCTTGCAAGTGAAAGCCCCAAAGACCAAATTAAATTGGTAATGTCTGAGGTTTTCTTTGGCCTGGATGTTAATAGAACGGGTTTTTTATTGGACTTGCCCCCTCCCCACACACCTTTTTTGTTGTTAATGGGACTATTAAATGTAAAGGAAGGGGAAGAGGACAGCAGAGGGTTCTAATTCCTACAATGTTCTGAAAACAACAAATTTTCTAATAAAGTATAGAAGAGTTCAGGAAGTATTGTACTAGGTTCTGGTTATATCACCATTTGTTGCTTGGGGGGCAGGGGAATAAACAATGACAACTTCTGAGGCACCTTAAATGCTAACAGTTATCATGGTGTGGATTAAAGACTAGTTACATCTGGCAAAGCAAGCTCTAGCCCCCAAAATCTTATGCCATAATAAATCTTGTCTTCTTTAATGGACCTCTTTGTAGACTTTGCCACAACAGATTCAGCACAATTTTCCCCCTGGAATTTGCTGTTCATGCATTGTGAGTTCCAGTTTCTGTTGATGTGTGTTTTGGGGAAAAGGGAAGGGATTGGGCAATAGACATGAGACGAGTCACACTGAATCATTTGACTGCATCAAGGTGATTTCCCCCAACACCCTCCCTTCCCCCCATCTCCAGCAGAAATCTTGGGTGTTCAGGAGCAGGCTCAGAATTAAAGTGGGTGTGAAAGAATGATCAGCATCTGGATCCTAACAAAGGCAAGGTGAAAATCTCCAGAGAATGGGGGGAAAGAGAGGAAAAGATGAAGATCTAGTTTCAGCTACTTTATATCAGGTCTGCAAACTTGAATCTGTTTTGGTGAGAGAGATTCTTTTGTTCTACGATTGTGTGGTAGTATGGACTTTTTAAACACACACACATGTAAACATTAACAATGGTCTTTTGTTCTAAACATAGGTGGCAGGTTTTGGAAGCAATTTAATGTGTGCTTTTTTGAAAGTAAATTTCTCTGAACTGAGTGGGACACTTCTTAGTAAAGTTGCATGGGATTGCACTGTATGTTTATTAAATTGCCTTAGGCTTATAGTTTGGTAATATGTTCTTTTTCTCCAAATCTGATTAATTAATGAGCTATGCAGTTTACTAATCTTTGCTGACAGCCCTACTTTATATGGCTACTTAAGGACATGGCTCACATACATTATGTTTGCTCTTTTATGTATGGTATAATAATAAAGTAAGGCTGTCATCACGCTGCAGTTAACATGGCTGCCAGCAGGAGGCCATGGCAACTCCAGCATAATGACAGACCAGCAGGCCAGTGAGCAAGCAAGCAGGGCAGGTAGCAGGAGGCCCAGGCAAACAGAGTGGCACTTCAGAGAGCAGTTTGGCAAACTACTCTCTGAAGCACCTTCCATCCTCCATTGAACATTGGTGTTTAAAGGAGGATGGGAAGCACTTCAGACAGTGTTTTGCTAAGGTTCTTTTCTTTAATTCTTTAGAAGATTTATAAACTGCCTGATCAAAACTCTCTCCAAGCAAGAAACACATAAAATAGATAACAAACAGTTAAATGCACAAGCCAATTAAACAACCAATGTGTATAAAACATTTCATAATTTATGAAAACAGTGCATATCCCTGTTTATTCTGCTCACATTTTTATTGACATACCCTCCAACATTTCTCAGATGAAAATTGGGACATTTCTCAGTCTCTCACCCCCCCCCCCCAGCCTCCTGGACCCTCCAATTTTTGTGCTCCTCACAGAGCATTTCCTATCAGAAAAAGGGCGAGTGCCACCATCACTATGCCAACAGGACACAGCACACATATATTCCACTGTCCTAAGAAAACCCCTTAATCCCTTTATTTTATTTTTTTATAGATTTACAAAATGAAAAACACACCAATAAATAAATTTTAAAAAGCAGCAGGATTAGGCGCGGATGCACAAAGCATATATATATATATATATATATATATATAATATCAAGACTCCTTACACTCTGCTGCACTCCCCCTATCTTCCCACCCACCCAGGGTGGCCCTGCCCTCTGCCTGCCCCTCAGAGTTGGCACATCATGTGGAGTTGGGCCTTCGCAGCGGCAGCCTCTCCTTCTCCTTGCCCTCTCTCCAGCAGCTGCTATGAGCTGCCCGAGAGCAGAGGCCAGCCGCAGCCGTGGAGAGGCCATAGAGAGGCAACAGGATGCTCTCTCACAGCCGCTGCCACATCCACCATTGTCGCTTGGGACAAGCACTGGCTCATCCTGCTCTCCAAGTTTGGTGGCAGTGGCAGGGAAAAAAGGGACATTCCAGTATCAAATTGGAAGCCATGATGGTTTTGTAATTCCGGGACTGACCCTGGAAAATCAGGACTCTTGGAGGGTATGCAAAGTCTAATCTTGTTGTTCCAGAATGACAGAGCACTTTAATCTACTAGGGTCAAAACGACGCCATACAGTCAAAGAAATCTTAAACTACTTTAACAGTCATAGAGAATTATGGGAACTGAAGTGCTAGGCACTGTCACTCTTTGAGGCCAGCACCTTAACAAACTACAGTTCCCAGGATTCTCTTGGAGTAGCCATGACTGTTGAAGTGTTATAAGAGTGCTTTAAAGGTATGGTGTGGAACTGGTGAAAATAAGGGAGATAGATGCAAGATCAAAATACATGTGAAGAGGAAGAGCCACCATGTTGGGATCTTCAACTTCAACACAAAGGAATTTATATGCAGATATGTGGATAGCTGGGGTGGTTTGGATGAGGCAGCAGAGCTGGGGGAAGGGCTGCTTAACCCTTTCCTAGGGTAGCAATATCGCCTCCTTTACAGAGGACTTAATTCAAAGGAATCTGGTTTAAAGATAAATAAGCAAAAGAATGATAAGAGAACCAGTCAGAGGGCCTTGAAATTGCCTGGACAGCAGACTGAGCAGGCACACAGGACCCATGAGCACAGTCTTCCCCCATATGGGGAGGTGTATTATATAATTAAATTATGGTAATTATTTCCAAATTTGTATCTAAATATTTCTAAATTTGCATCTAAATTTGCATCTAGTCTGTGCAAAAGTTATGCAAATCTGTGTCATGTTTATGCTATTTTGGCTGATTCATTTCCTCTTTTGTTGCAAGTTCTGCAGTACAAATATGGGGAACTGCCCATCATATTTTCTAAACAGAATCTGGGCAAATCTTTCCTCTTTTCAACCCCAGGATGGGATGGCAATTCAATAGGCAAGAGTCATGTAATTTTGTCCTCTTGCTGCAGCCAAAGAGGCTGGATGGAGCTCTTCCTGCCTATCAAGTTTCCGTCAGCACTAAATAAACAGGTGATATTTATTTAGGATATTTACATCCCACTTTATAGAGGATCTTAAAGCAGCTTGCTAAATATTCTCAAAAAGAAACCACACTGAGTTCTAGTAGATAGTAGGAAAGAAATCTGATCAATTTGATTTGATCCAGCCCTGTTCTTGTTTCTGAAATGGAAGCAACTGTGCATTATTAAATCATTCTTGAATTTCAAACCTTGAGCATAGCACAGTTTGCTGAACATTTATTTCAGTTTTTACTTCCCATCTATGTTAATGATTTTAATGGGGAGGGAAGGGGAGCATGAGCTGAAAAATCTGCAGCATTTTCTAAATTCCACTTTATTCCTCCCTAGTCGGATCTCACCTTGTGTCCAGTAACACACTGCACTGGATCCATCCAAAACCTAGATCCCAAATGGATTTGCCTGATCCGATTGGGGCAGCCCTGAATTACCCTGGGTTAGATCAGGCCCACCTAGAGTTGTCTGGGGCTGTCAAAAGGGGGGATCCTGCCAGAGGGGATGGGAGAAGAAGATGCACAAGCAGCCTAGATATGCCTTCCTCTCCCCATCCTCCCAGCCATGTGCTTAGTCACCATTCAGGGTTTAAACCCAGATTAAGCATGACTCTAAAATAAATGGGGAGATGGAGTTCCAGTCACGAGAAGCCACCACTGAAAAGCTCCAGGACCAGGACCCCACACCACATACTTCATACTGAGTAGGGACCACCAAGAGAACCTCATCTGTTGCTTTCAAATCAGAGGATATTGTCCACTATACTAGACAACACACACGCACACACAAAGTGATGAAGAAGCTGCACAATCAAGAGTAAGATGATACGATACCTGTTTCAGGAAAGCTGCGTCATCTCTCTTCTCATGAAATGATTTCTGTAAACGTGAACATGTTTGTGTCAGTCTACCTACGGAGGTGTTTCTTCTTCATATTATCTCCCATACATATGGTCCACATTTCATTCTGTTCTCTGGTGAATTTCTGTATTTGGCAAAGCTGGAGGATAATGCCTAAACCCAGTTATGTAGGGGGATGTCCCACTGAATTCAGATGGACCAGTTTCTGAGTAGCCATGCATAAGATCTGAAATTAGTTAATTGAATATTTATAACTATCTTGTTCTGCTGGGGTTGGGAACAGCAAGGGAAAGTGGTGATGAGAACTGTAAATACGATGGCCCATTATAGCTGGTGGCTTTTCCCGTAGATAAATTTATTATAAGAACTATTTCCAAACGGACTGTTCATTTTAAAAAAGCATGGCAGCAGGCAATAAAATCATGAAATCATCATAAAATCATGAAACACAGAACAGATGACCAATACTGAATTAAATTAATTCTTGAAAAGTGCTTGTTGAAACAGGAATATTTTCAGCAGGCGGTTTGTCCGATTTCAATGGGAACAGTGTTCCAAAGAACTGGTGCCACTATGCTAAAAGCCTTTATATACATAGAAATCAAACAAATATATGAGAATGATGGGATAGTCAGGAAGGCTTCACCAGATTATATAGTTATCCGGCTGATGTATAAGGGAGAAGAAGGACCTTCA